CATTCTTTCTTATGATTGTTTTCATATTAAAAGGAATTGTCTCTGGCCCGTAGCATTTGTTAATTCTTAAGAATTTTCTTAGCATAGAGTGTTTGTACAATTTCAAAATGCATTTAAAAAAAAGGTTTGGTTTGGGGCTGGGGGCAGCTTGAGCAACACAGAAGAGCTGGCTAGTTAATATCGTCACTCTGACTCACCATTTGGCAGCACAAGAAAGAGGGAAAGGTCACCTTAAGTTTCCTGTCTTTGCATATAAATAACAAGGGTGTTTTTTGGTAAGTGATAAATTAAAGCTTCCTGGCAACCAATTGGACTGACAAATATAAATCTGCTTTCAAATTTCTTTCCTCTGTAAACTGCAAATAGTGATACTGTCCTCTTAGGTTTCCAGAAACTGTCAAGTGATTTCTTAAACTCCCCGTACTCATCCCCTCGCACTCCCCCTTTTTAAAGGGTTTCTGCTTTAGGAATTCCAAGATAACCGGGTTTGAGAGCAAGAACAAGTTATGGTGGCGACCTCCCTGGGTGACTAAGGAAGAAGGAGGGCAAAGGCTGAGAGTAAAAGAAAATAATTTGTATTGTGTAGGAAGTTACTTTGGGTGGCTGACTCTGAAATAAATTGAATAGCAACGAAGTGCGTGTAGTAAATGCCTTACTAATGGAGGGATTCGATTAACAGAAAATTTATTTCCTGCAAAACTTGGTCTTGATTAAAATATGCATGAGGGACCTTCAACTTCACTGCCACTGTCTTTCCATGCTGAAGGTTTAGAGACCAGCTTACAGGGCTGTCGTCGCTGTGGGAATCTCTGACCCTAGAGTGGGTAACATATACATGCTGGGCCGGTGGAACAGAACTGAACAGAGCCAGCTGTGGGCTACACTGGTAGCTTGTTTGCCTTTGAGTCATTCACATTTATTTGTATCATTGCCATTTTTCTGGCTAAATAGCAACTTGTAAATGACTGCTGTTTTCATGAGTGGATATAGGCTTATTATTATTTAGAGTCCTCAGACTTCAGTGCTGGAAGCAATTTCAGGGTCTGGTCAGGCGCAGAGTCCAGGTGTGTTTTGTTTGGCCCGTATAGTGTGTTTTCATGCACAGTACAAGTAAGCCACTTTGGTCGGGATACAGCACCTTAACACTTAGTGTTGCATGGTTCCCGCGGTCAGGTTCACAGACCACCCCCTGTAGACATCTGAGTTTGTGACCCTAATAATCCTACCTCCTGGTTTTACAGTTGCAGGGACCAAAACCCTAAGAGATCAAATGACTTTCAGCAGTCAAACAGTGTCAGGGCAATTCCAGAGCCGGGTCACAGCCTATTTTTCTCTGGATTCTGCTCCTAAATTTAGAAGAGGTGTTGTTTACTTTTCACTGTTAGACTCCATTGTGAAAAAGCTGAGATGCTTTTTAAAAGTGCCCTACAAATGAAAGAACTGAGAGGCAGTGGTGGGATTGTGAGAAGCAGTTTCAGTCCTGCTGCTGCCTGCGGTTTGCTGGGGTAAATCACTTCATCTCTAGACATCAAGATCATCATCTGTAATGTGAAGGACTTAGACTAATAGTTTCACGTCATCTGGTGCGTAGTGAGTCGTAACTCTCAATAAATGTTCAATGAACAATGAATGGTAAAGGTCCCTACCAGCACTAAATGAAAGATGCTCTCATTCTACATCAGCTTTCCTTCTCTCCACTATCCTCTACTGGGTCTGGGGGACTTTCAGAGTGTCTTCCAGTGTTGGAAGACATCTAAGACTTGTGATGCAGACTTCGGGGGATTCTTTGAACATTCATTGGTTTTCTGCTGTCTGTCCATCCTCATCTTGGTGGGTTTTGCTCATCTAACAGCTCATCTGTTCCCTGAACTTCACTGCGTGACAGAATCCACGGATCATCCTTTTGTGTATTGTGGGAGGCAGCAGGAGGAAGAAGCAAATGGCAGGTGGCTTTTCTCAATAACCCTGGGTTAGCCACTTCTACTGTCTTTGATCTCTTCTCTTTTTTTTTTTTTTTTTACTTATTTATTTGAAAGACAGAGTTAGAGAGAGGGGGAGAGGGAGGTCCAGAGAGATCTTCCATCTACTGGTTCACTCCTCAAGTTCCGCAACAGCTGGAGCTGAGCCAATCCAAAGCCAGGAACTTCTTCCAGGTCGCCCACACGGGTACAAGGGCCCAAGGACTTGAGCCATCTTCCGCTGCTTTCACAGGCACATTAGCAGGGAGCTGGATCAGAAGTGGAGCAACTGGGACTCCAGTCGGCAAATGGAATGCCAGCACTGCAGGCAGTGGCATAACCCACTATACCAGAGCTCCGGCCCCTTGCTTATACAAAAGAGGCAGCATTTCCTCCTGGCCACACCATTTGTAGGCAGGATGGTACTACAAAACCTGAAGTGAATTACTTGTTCTAATATAGGTAATACTCTTGAATTTCAACATTCATTATTGATATTTATACAGTCTTCGTGGGCCTAGTCACTGTTGCCAAGTCATTGAGCATCTTAACAGATGTAGGACACAAAATTACAAATAACTTTCCCCTGCCTTTTAAGAGCTTAATGGCTTAGTAGGCGAGTCAGGAGAGTTACAGAAATAGAAACGCTGTCAACGCAGGGTGAGATAACTGGAGGTAAGTCCAATCTTAGTTTTTCTCGGAACAAGGAATCCTTAAGGATTCAATTTTGTCATGTATTAGAGAATTGGAGTGTTTAAAACAGAGATGCTTTTCTGTTTTCATGAAAAGAAATGTAATTCTTAAGAAATCCAGATTAGTGCCGAGCTTCTCTTCCCTCGGAGTCGCCCCTAAAGGAATCCGTAATCTCACTCATAGGCGCATCAGTCTACTCAGCACCGGTTTAAATCCTCTCTGCCCCTGCCCCGCGCCTCTCACCTGCTGGGCCAGCCTCTTTGGTGTGAGATCTAATCCTGACAGCTTCACTAAGCCCAGCAGACTCCAGAACCTCTGGGGTTTATTTTTATTCTATTCCTGTTTTCCACCTTTCCTTTCTCACCTTCCCTTCCTCATAATTATTCAGATGTACCAGTGATTAATTAATATGTGTGATTTTCCCGCCTTAGTCATTGCATTACTCATGATTTTGTACAAGTTTTGTCTGGAGTTCCTAGCCAAAGTTTCAGAAGACATCAGGAAATGTTTGCATTGTTTTTAAACTGGCTCATTTATTGCTCATAGATCAAAACCAAAAATATTTCCCTTACCTCTACCCTAACCAAGCCAATTCCCACAGCTTTACATGCTTTTATAAAAAGGACCTGTTCCAAGATCCAGTTTCTCTAAGCTTCCCACTCTTCCTAGCTGAAGCCTTCCTCTGTTAGCCTCCTCATGGCCCTCATGAGCCCCTCAGCAGGGAGGCCAGCCTGGGAGCCCATGTGTGCAGCTTCGCTGTGGCGTAAGTCCCACATTGACTTCAGGATGCATTGTCACTGGGCTCAGCTGGTGACCACAGAGACAGCCATTTTCTACTTTTAGGACAGTTGCAAGGAAGCCACGTCAGCAATCACTGTAATTCTTCTTCGATTCTCCCCACAAGTAACCCTCCCTAGTTAGCCACATGCATTGCCTTCTGGAGGCTGACAGTAGCCTCTCAGGCTTCAGACAAAGAGCCACGGGCTTGGTTCTGCCTGGCTCCTTTCTGTCCCACGGAGCGGAGAGCGCACGGCAGAGCACCAAGTCAGAGTTGGGCTCTTTGTTTTTGGTTTTTCTCTGTATCAGAAAAGGGAGAAATGTAATCTTTTTGAGGAAGGGGGAAAAAAGCGAAATCACCTTCAAGAAGCAGTAACATAGATCAGCCCTTGTATAGACTGTTGAGGAACACATCTCTTTTTGTTTTTATAAACTCCATTCTTTTTCTTTTTCTTTCTTTCTTTTTCTTTCTCAGATAAAACAGGAAAAGGAGCAGGAAGTGGAGGTGGAGAATGGATGGGAGGGTGGGCATGGTGGGAAGAATTACTATGTACATAATGTTGTATTTATGAAATATATAAAAATTCAAAAAGAAGAAATGTAATATTTTTAGTTCAGGGGTGGAGGAAATTGGTAGACAATAAGGATAGAAACACAGATCACTGTGCTCAGCCCAGGACAGCTACTCAGCAAATTCTCGTTTCATGAATGAGAAACATGTCTCCAAGATTGAGAGATATAGACCTGGCAAAAAAAAAAAAAAAAAAAGGAAGCGAGAATACTTTGGTGACATACTCTTTTTTTTTTTTTTTTTAAGATTTATTTATTTATTTTAAAGGCAGAGTTAGAGGCAGAGGCAGAAGAGAAAGAGAAGTCTTCCATCTGCTGGTTCACTCCCCAGTTGACCACAGTGGCCAGAGCTGCACCAATCTGAAGCCAGGAGCCAGGAGCTTCTTGTGGGTGCAGGGGCCCAAGCACTTGGGCTATGCTTTCCCAGGCCATTAGCAGAGAGCTGGATCAGAAGTGGAACAGCCCGAACGCGAACCAGTGCCCATATGGAATGCCAGCACTGCAGGTGGTGGCTTTACCCGCTACGCCACAGTACCAGCCCTGGTGGTGTATTCTGTTCCGTGAGAGGACATGGGAAATTGGAATATTCCTCCTGGAGCGGTTTCTAGTACGTCATACTGCTATCAGTGTATCTCTAGCGGACAGGCTGATGGTCCTGTTTTTATTCCCTGGGTCTGGGAAATTCAGACTTTGATATCTAGCAAGTCTCTCCATTATCCACATTCATTTTTGGAAAATGTGTTATTATGCTGTATTTACTTAGCACTTCACACTGGCAAAATTCTATGCCCGTGTTATACGCTACAAAAAATCCACTTACTTGTTACTCTTTTTAGAATGGCAGACAGGGATACCAGAAGGTCTAAGAACTGTGTGTAGGACTGAAAGAAAGCTACTTGCAAATTGTGTTTTAAATTTTTCATAATCTTTTTGGAAACTGGCAGAAGATAAATAAGTCAACCAGTAGATAAGAAGTTAAGGTTTCTTTGCCTTTCCTCCTAGAAAACGAGTAACTCTGGATCTAGAAAGGGACCCAAGGAGGTTATCTACATACAGTTTGCTTGATCCTGGCGAGTTTAACTACAGAGGAGGCACTGGGGAGTTTTTCAGGTGAGGGCACTGTGCTTAGATCTTATCCCAGTGGTGGTTATACAGCTGCTCACATCTGTCAACTTACAGACACAAACTGACAAGATCTGAGAGCAGCATTGTGGAGCAGCAGGTTTTGCTGCTGCCTGTGATGCAGGCATCCCGTAGAAGAGCGCCGGTTCAAGTCCCGGCTGTTCCTCTTCGAGTCCAGCTCCCTACTAATGCACTTGGGAAAGCAATTGAAGATGGTCCAAGTACTTGGACCCCTGTCACCCATGTGAGAGACTCGGATAGAGTTCCTGGCTTCGGCCCAAGCCAGCCCCAGCTGTTGCAGCCATTTGGGATTGAACCAGCAAATGTAAGATTTGACATCTCTCTCTCTCTCTCTCTCTCTCACTCTCACTCTCTCACTCAACTCAGTCACTCTTAGTTCTGAAACGAACAGTTCTTTTTGTTTTTAACTTGTGTTTATTTGAAAGAGAGGGATCTTCCATCAGCTGACTCACTTCCCCAAATGCCCACAACAGCTGGGCCTGGGTCCGGCCAAAGCCAGAGCTGGGAACTCAGTCAGGACCTCCCAGATGAGTGGCAGAGACCCTAGCGCCTGAGCTGCCGCCCAGGATGCACCATAGCAGGAGGCTGAACTGGAAGCAGAACCCAAGCACTCTGATGTGGGATATGGGTGTTCCAAGCATGTCTTAGCCCCCGTGCCAAATGGAAACCCTCTAAATCTAACTTCTTAGAGAAGAATTTCCAGCGGCCTGAAGAAGAAAGCAATTAACATTTCAGAATGAGAAAATAGGCGGCAGTGATTTAATCATATTCTGGTTTGAAGAGACAGTTTCCTGCTCTGGTTGTAGTTCAAGGATGCCCTCAACCTTTTTTGATAATTGATAATTTCTTCATTAATAAGATTCCCAGTCCACACTGCAGGCTTTGGAGCTGGCGTATTTTCTTCTTGGCATTCGTCCCTCCCTCCCTTTACCCTGGCCCCCTCTGCTATCTCTACCCAGCTGAGGTTCCCATCTGTAAGGCCTGTTGCCACAGGATACAGAACTCTCTAGGGAGGAGCGGGAGCTGTGTGTGCCTGCTGGGTTGGTGGCGCTCATAATCAGATAAACATTGTGGAAAGCTTGCTCATTCGCGTGGAAGAGCAGTGGTGCAGCTGAATGGTGGAGCCGCTGGGGCTCCAGGCTGCAGCGTCTGTACCTGCATTAGGCCTGCTCAGCCTGGAGCATTTCCATTTGTGCTGATAAAAGAGCTGGTGAGCATTGCCACTCATGCCGTTCAGCAATGGCAGAACCTTTACTTGAACCCCATGGAAGAAAAGATGAAATGGGCCACAACTAGGAAATCCCGTGTGACTTCCTCACACTGTAGAGTACCTCTGTGTAGTCATAGTGACGCTAGTGTTGTCCTTTTCACCCTCACGATGTTTCATCTGACCTCTTTTCCCCTCTAAGAAAGCTCTGACACACCCGAGACTTTTGCAGCCCGGGGTTCTGCCCTTCTTCCTTCTGGTGGCCCCCGCCTTGAAGGGGCAGCAGTACAGACAGCGCCCCTAAGAGTTCGAAGTGTGGCCTGCTTTTTGAGGACAGAGAAGCTTCTTGGTTCCTGCCTTTGACCTGGCCTTGATTGGGCTTCCTGAGCAAGCAGTGTCTTCACCTCACCCAGCCACAGGGCAGAGATCTCTTCAACACCAGGACGCCACCTCTCTGTTTCCTGTTGTGCAGGCAGGCTTACTCCAACCCAGAAGCTCGGAGTAGCTTTTGCCTTCGTGAGCACAACATCACTGGGGTTCTTAGGGTCGTGTTTGTTTATATTTTCCACACTCGCGCGGTTTGCCTGTCTTGGCAGCCCGCTGGCCTAGGCAATAATAAAGCTTCTGTTGAGGTGAGCAAACAGCTGATGGCGTGGGGCACAGAGGGGACTCCTACAGTGGCCATCTGTAATCTGCCAGGCTGGTGGTCAGAGCAGGCAAGAACAAAAGCCAGTCTGTTTGCAGGCAGATTGGAAAATCAATGTGTTAGTTGTGTTCCTCTCGCTTTGCCTTTCTCCTGGCTGAAAGGGAGGACGCTGGGCCAGCAGTCTGCAGAATCATCACTGGCAAGTACCATTCTAGAGACTCACCTGACAGCCGTGTTACAGCTGGTGGTTCTAAGAGGGTCTGAGATAGCCCAGTCCTACCCATCTTGTTGCTTAACAAGTCATGGGTGGGGGGATCCTTATACCTTCCATCCAGACGTGGACCTGCTGGCCCAGGATTTTGGCATGCTTCTATTCCAGTTACCTACTCACATAAGTTGTGTGCTAATTTCTCTTTTTATCACTGATGGGGGCTTAGAAAGGAGGTCGTTTGTTGCTGGCTGGGAAATGCAGGAATTGCTCTTTGGAGCGTATTTCATAATGTATGTGTGAACATTTTGCTCTTATTCCTAAATCGATTCAGTGTTGTCAGTTAGATGAAAATGTCCTAAACAGCATGTGTATCTGGTTTCCTAGGCCTCAGAGAGCAGAGATCTTACCGGATGGTGTATCGGATCCGTTCTGGCCAGGGAGTGGGCTTATTAAAGGCTTCTGCGAGTCTCTTGACAAATCTCTCCCAGAGCAGGCAGCAGCAGATGTGCAGCTCTGGGAGGGTGTGAGAAGGAAGGGCTCTCCTGTTTTGCCATGTGTTGAAATTGGCCTGAGACAGTTAGCAAATGGCTTTCAACATTTTAATTTGCGCTTTGAAGGTCTACAGCTAGGTTCTCCCTGTCAATGATAGTCTTCTGGTCATGAATAAGAGAAAAGGTGTTTGACTAGAGATGGGTATGTGTATCATGTAAAGTCCATCAACACAAATAAAAAAGCTGTGGCTTCAGTGGTCACTGGGGAGATTCTAAACTCAGCAAATTAGATTTTAAGAGGTTTAGATTTGATCTTAGGTAAAAGAGGGACTTGACATTTTTTATTTTGTTTTACTAGTGGTTTAAAGGAAAAGTAGACTAAACCTAACCACCACTATTACCAAAAAAAAAAAAAAATTTAACACATAGAAGGCCCATTCGCCTTTAGCGCTGACCCTGCCTCACCTTGTATTATTGTTGAATATGTTTCATTCTTTATGTCATGAGACTGTAGAAACCACAACCAGAGCATCTGCAGTTCCTCACATGTCCCATAGACATGAACAAAGTGACCAGAACATAGCAGCATTTAATCATGTGTTGGTTGGAGCGCCTTTATTTTCTGAAAGCTGACTGTGGGCCAGTAATTGTGCCAGGCACTAAGGAGTCAGCTGCTTCCCTTGCTTCAAACCTGAGTAGCTGATGGCAGAGGAGGCACATCCCCTTCATGAAAGCAAGCCCCCTGGGTGTGTCCTTGGTATTTTCCTTTAAAGAACAGAGGTAACTTTTTATTCTCCATTATACTGTAAATCTTAGATTTTTCAGGGTAACAAAGAGAGGAGGTGAAGTAGCTCAACCCTTTGATACGAAAACATGAAACACTGCAAGGAATAAGGGCTGAGTATCCCTAATCCAAAAATCCAAAATGCTCTGCACACCATGATAGCACAAGTGGAAAATTCCACACTGCTGCATGTGATGGGCACACTAAAAAGACTATAAAATTGCCGTCATGCTGTATGTGTAGGGTGCATGTAATGAATTTCATGTTCAGACTTGGGTCTCATTCCAAAGATAACTCATGATATATGTGCAATTATTCTAGAATCCAACAAAAATTGAAATATGAAGTACTTCTTGTCCCAAACATTTCAGACAAAAGGTACCTAACCTTTATTGTGTCATTTCTGTGCACAAGGGGCATAAGTACTTTGCCATTCTCTGGTCAGATCATCCTGAACTTAATTGGGCAGGTTTCAATTTTTCTGATTTTTAAAGAGGCTAATTCTATAAGGAAAAATAAAATGAAAGAGACATTTTCCAGTCAAACCTAAGCTATTCAGAAGAATGGAGAGGGCTAGATGACCCTAAATCCATAAAACATCCTCAGATATTTTTTTTGCCTGATCTCTCACCAGAGCATTAATAGATAGCCTAAATTAAATACTATTTCTCACTTCCTCTCCTTTTTTCAGCTTTCTCTTTGGCAGAGAACCTATTCAGAAGGAAATTAACCCAGGAGCAGATGGCAGGAGACAGCAGGTGGCAGATTGAATAAGCAGCCTCTGAACAACAGTCCTGTTAGCCTGTGTCCTTAACTCCAGTACGGCAGAGTCCCTCAGCATTGAGTTCTCATTCAGCTCTTTTTTAGAGAAGAGTTTGATTTTGTGGGTCCCTCCCTGAGATTGTCCTGCTTCCCTGGATGGTTAAAGAAAGAGAGCATTTTGCCTGACATCCTGATCAAGACAGTCAAAAAGTGGTGTCATAAAAAACCTCTTCACCACCCTGTCTCCACTCTAATGTAGTCTTTTTTTTTTAGTTTATATATATATATATAAACAATCTTATATCTTACAGTATAATGGAGAATAAAAAGTTACTTCTGTTTTTTAAAGGAAAATACCAAGGACACACCCAGGGGGCTTGCTTTCATGAAGGTGATATATATATCTTGTATGTGTGTATATATATATATCTATAGATATATAAACAAACATATATATTTGAAAGGCAGAGTGACAGGGCTGGGGGAAGGGTACCATCATCTGCTGGCTCATTCCTCAAATGTGCACAGCTGTGGGATTTGGGCCAGGCCAAAGGCAAGAGCTCCACCTGGGTCTCCCATGTGAATGGCAGAGACCCAAGTACCTGAGCTATTATCTGCCACCACTCAGGGCGTGCATTAGCAAGACTGGGTTGGAAGTGCTGGCGGGACTCAACGTCGAGCACTCGGATTCGGGATGCAGGTGTTCGAAGCATCACCTGTGCCTCAGTGTCCCTCCTAACTTAACCTTTTGTCACGGGCCCCAAGGAATGAGAAGCAACTTCCACCCCAGGTGTTCCCACCATGTGTGAACTCAAGGCAGGAGCAGCATGTGGAATTCCTGCCAAAAGACAACGTTTTGTGGGAACCATGTTACTGCGTGTACCTCATCTTGAGCAGCTTAGGGATTTTCTGACTATGTGCAGAGCTGCGGGCAGACAGAGGAGGGGGCTGAACGGCAAGAATGGAGCCCTGTGGGAAGCAGGGGTGTTGTGGACCTGGGGTGGAATTACTAGATTTTGTTCCTCCCTTACTGTTTTTCTTTTTTGTTTTCTTCATTTCAATGAAGAGTGTTCCCGTTTCTCCTAGGTGGCACAAGACATACTGACATTACTTAAGCTGATTTCTCTCTAGATTGCTCTGCTATTTTGTTTCTCAATCATCTGTTTTGTTTTGAATTTCCAAAGTACCAGCTTTAGCTTTATGTCTCTGTGGTAGTGAATTAGACATTTGTATAACATTGCGGCTTTTTTCCCCAAATCAGTTTTCTTAAGTTTCTCATTAAAGCAAGATGTTGAAATAGGGGGTGTCAAATGAGGAATGACATTTTAAAATATATATATATATATATATATATATATTATTTTGCTTTTCTGCCTTCTCATTCTCATTTCAGACTTTATGACTTTTGGTCACAATGACTGATGGAAGATGTGTTTTAACACTACTGTTGCAGAATTAGCGCCATTTTCTCTCTTCTTGTGCTTTATTTAGATTTCGACACAGCCCCAACTGCTGGTACCTGCGAGACTGGACAATCCACACCTGGATCAGGCAGTGTCTAAAGTATGGTGCGGAAGACAAAGCCTTGCACACCGTTCTAAACAAGGTGAATGGTTTCTTGCCACCTAGAGCTGGTTTTCTGGGTGTGGGTGATGGGGTGTTTGTACCTATTACAGTATAGCAAAGAGTGATGCCAGAAACAGCTCTAAAATGGGGCTGGGAATTATGTAATGAACAAATTTAAGAACTCCGCTAGCTGGTGCTTTTCCAAGCACAGGAACTCAGCAAAAAGGACGGATCAGAGCAACAGTGCAGCCAGAAGAGTTCTGCACTCCTGTCGTTTCATTCTTGATACCTAAGCCTTGAATCCTTTGGTGAAATTTGGGGGGCAGGGGGCAGCCTGATCATTTTTGCTGAAATGGGATCTCCAGAGCACTCAGGCTGCATACACACTCTTTTTAAAAAAACATTATTTATGTATTTATTTGAATGTCAGAGTTACACAGAGAGAGGAGAGGCAAAGAAAGAGAGAGAGAGTCTTCTATCCACTGATTCACTCCCCAGTTGGCCACAATGGCCGGAGCTGTGTGGGTCCTAAGCCAGGAGCCAGGAGCTTCTTCCAGGTCTCCCATGTGGGTACAGGGGCCCAAGGACTTGGGCCATCTTCTACTACATTCCCAAGCCATAGCAGAGAGCTGGATTGGAAGTGGAGCAGCCGAGACTCCAACCCGCTACGCCATAGCGCCGGCCCCTGTGCATACACACTTTTTGAAAGACAGTAAAGCTGAGTCAGTCATCCTGTGTCCCTGAAGTCCCTGTGATTCAGATCATTCTGGATTTGTACTCCTCAGGGCAAATAAAGTAGAAAATAAGCAAACGTTTGGAATGCTACTATTGTGAATCTCAACCTGCACAACATTTGTGGCCAGAAAACTTTTTTAACTGTTTTTATGAAAATGTATTGTTTCTGTAGTGTCACTGGACCTTGAAAATAAGAACTCAAAGGGAATATTGATTTTGTTTTGGGGCCCCCTCTGTGCAAAATAATTTCCATTCCCGAGACTTGGACTCAGCTCATCCCAGCATTGATTGCATTCCATTTGTGTTGAGATATTGGTGTGGTACCAGATAAAAAATGAGCAATACCCTGTCCCAACCCTCAGATGGCTTATAATTTAATAAGGTAGAGAGATCAGCAGACTCACTGTTGAATCTAATATTGGACAAGCAGAGGAATGCCAGTAAAAATACCTAGGAAATCAGGATGAGGAAATCTAATTGTGGGGAAAGAATTAGTAGACATGAAGTCCCCTTAAGCTGGTCCCCAGAAGATGCGTGCTTGCGCTGGAGATGGGACAGGGCGAACAATAGTCTGTTAGCTTTTTACTGGGAGCCTAAGGTACGTTAAGGGAGGTACTGAGCCAGGGTGGGAGTGAGAGACTGAGCTGGACCCTCCAGGCCAGGGTATGGCCGTGAATCTCAAGAGGAGGACACGGAAAGCTCCAGGTTACCAATGTTAAATCCTGCTACCTTCGATTCGGAATATAAGGACGCAGATTAGTCTCAAGGAAGGTTCCTAGGAAAACAAAACTAGAAAGGTCTAGAAGAAGAGAACAAAGTGTATCTCGTTTCTGCAGCTCCTCAAGTCTTTTCATGGAAAACACAGCAGTAGTCAGAAGTCCTTGGCCGTGTGTCCCTTACAGGTTCCACCAGTTACCCATAACTTAAGGCAAATAATCTTCTCCTTCTAGAGCTTAGATTTTTGAACTCCGAGTCAAGTGTATTGTACTAATAAATCAGTGATTTTCAGCCCTAGATGCCCGTTAGAGTCACAAAGTTTTTCAAAATTATAGCTGCTGGGCCAGCGCTTTGGCTCACTTGGCTAACCCTCTGCCTGCGGCACCGGCACCCTGGGTTCTAGTCCTGGTTGGGGCACTGAATTCTGTCCTGGTTACTCCTCTTCTAGTCCAGCTCTCTGCTGTGGCCCGGGAAGGCAGTGGAGGATGGCCCAAGTGCTTGGGCCCTGCACCCACATGGGAGACCAGGAGGAAGCACCTGGCTCCTGGCTTCAGATCGGAGCAGGGCCGGCCGTAGCGGCCATTTGGGGAGTGAACCAATGGAAGGAAGACCTCTCTCTCTCTCCCTGTCTAACTCTGCCTATCAAAAAAAAAAAAAATTACAGCTGCTTGCTTTCCCCAAATTCTAATTTTTTGATGTGCCTGGGGCCAGGCAGTCTTTGGTTTGTTTTGTTCTTTGTTTTGTTTTTAGTCAATCTTGTTTTTTTAGATTGGTTTAGGGTCATAGCAAAATTGAACAATGAGGGCCCAGCATTGTGGCGTAGCAGGTAAAGCATCTGCCCACAATGCCAGCATCCCATATGGGCACTGGTTCAAGACCTGGCTGCTCCACTTACGATCCAGCTTCCTGCTTAATGGCCTGGGAAAAGCAGCAGAAGATGGCTCGAGAACATGGGCCCCTGCTGTCCATGTGGGAGACCTGGAAGAAGCTCCTGGCTCCTGGTTTTGGATCAGCACAGCTCCGGCTGTTATGGCCATCTGGGGAGTAAACCAGCAGATGGAAGATCTCTCTCTCTCTCTCTCTCTCTCTCTCTCTCTCTCTCTCCCCCTCCCTCCCTCCCTCCCTCCCTCCCTCCCTCTCTGAAACTCTTTGAAATAAATAAAAATTTTTTTAAAAAATCGAACAATAAGTACAACAGCCATTTCCTGTATACTCCCTACCCCTACCCCTACACGTCTTCCCTATAATCAGCATCCCTTCCAGAGTGGTATCTTTGTTACAGTTGTTGAAAAGCCCATAGTTTCATTCTTGGTGTTGAACATTCTAGGGGACAAATATGTTATGACTGGGGCCAGCATGTGGCACAGATGGTTAAGATACCGCCTATGACACCAGCATCCCATATCAGAGCACCATTTCAGGTACTGGCTGCTGTTCCACTTCCGGTCCAGCTCCCTGCTAATGCTCCTGGGAAAGCAGCAGAAGATGGCCCAAGTTACTGTGCTCTTGTCATCCACGTGGGAGACCTGAGTTGAGTTAAAGTCTCCTGACTTCAGCATGAGCAGCCCCAGCTGTTGCAGCAATTTGAGGAGTGAACCACTGGATGGAGGATTGTACTCTCTCTGTCACTCTGCCTTTCAAATAAAATCTTTTTTAAAAAAAATGTATAATTACTTGTAGCCACCATAATATATCAGAAGGATAGTTTGCTCTAAAAATCCTCTGTGCCCTGCCTATTCATCCCTCATTGATATTCTTTTTTTTTAATTTTATTTTATTTCTTTGTTTATTTATTCAAAAGAGTGACAAGAGAGGGAGGGAGAGGGAGACAGAGAAATCTTTCATCTGCTGATTTACTCTGCAAATGCCCCCAAGAGCCAGACTGGGCCAGGCTGAAGCCAGGAGCCAGTCCTTGGGTCTCTGCACCCAATGGGAGACCCGGAAGAAGTTCCTGCTTCCAGGCTTTGGATCGGCTCAGCTCTGACCATTGGCGGCCATTTGGGGAGTAAACCAGCAGATGGAAGACCTCTCTCTCTCTCTCCAACTCTGCCTTTTGAATAAATAAATAAATCTTAAAAACAAACAAACAAAAAAAAAAAGAATTCAACTATTTAAAAAAAAGGCCAGGCCAAGGACCTGAAAATATTAAATCATCCAGTTGGGGGTGAGGAGGACTTTGTGTGTGTGTGTGTTTAAGCTATGATAGGTGTCAGAATTAAACTGCATTTTTCACATACTGGTTGCATTATAGCAGACAACCACTCACAATGTTCTCACCCTGGCCAGCAGTTCCAGTTACCCGACAAGCTTCTGTTCCACTGTCATAGATGCTGTAAGATGATAGGCAGAGATTCTAAAGCTAGTGGTCAAAAGTTTTCTCCTGAATAATACAGAGGCCTGTGTTAAAGACTGAACTAAAATGGATGTGTTCCCCTTTTATTTTCATTTCATTACAGGTTCAATATGGAATTTTTCCAGATAACTTTACATTCAATTTATTGATAGATTCTTTCATAAAGAAAGAAAATTTCCAAGGTAAGAAACCAAACCCAGATTTGGTTATTTACTGTAGGACTTGTGTTCCCAAAGGGAAGTGCAGGAATGTAGGCATTTCCCCCTTTTTTTCTTCATGACATCTCTTCACGTCACTCTTGTGGTCAGAAGAGTTTTGGTGAAGATGATCATTAATGCAGAAAGCTTGAGAATATTATCTTTGGTTGTTGCTAGGACAGGAAATATGAAAGTACATAAATGATCGTGAAGGAAAGGTTAATCATGCAGGCCGATCTCATTTCGCCTCCTAAACTGAGCAAAATGCAGAATATAAGTAAAGTATAAAATAAATGTGATTTAGTTCTCATGCGTATTTTTGGCTTTGGCAGTAAATACTTGGCAGAACGGGTTTTTAAAAAAAAAAAAATACTGGCTTTGTGGCTTTGTGTTCTTTTAAAGTTTTACCAGTTCATTTATTTAAAAGAAAACCTCTTCCAAGTCCTAGTTTTGCTGCTGGTCTACCAGATGACTTCCCGGTCTGCCTGTCTGTGTCAGTTTCCTCGTTTGTAACATGAACATAGAAGTCTTGTCTACAGCCTCAGAACCATAACAACATATGCAAAACCAGCTGGCTAGGAACAGCTGCACATCCGTGCTAACTCTTATAATTGAGTATATGCAAAACCTGAGTAACTCAGGAACATTTGTTGTACTTGTGATATGTGCAGGTGATGGGATTTGTGCTATATTTTAAACCCGTGTTCCCACTCTCTGCTTTAACAATAACTAAGGGAAGGCAAGTGTTTGACCTTGATTCTCTTGGCTCCTTTTTATCCTGTAGAATATCAGGGGAAAATACGAACTGCTTGAGGCCTGCTCTGCTGTGACCAGCCTTCCCGCGGAAGCAGACCTCTTACGCTGCATGTTGCACTCATCAACAATGAGCGTTTTCCTTGTCCTTGTAGGACTTTCAAACCTGATTGTATTGTCCTTTTTCTAGCCATTGGTTTCTGTCTTCGAGTCCCTGAGATTTAGAATCTCCTCTAGCATGTTTTCCCTCCTCTGCCTCAACGGAGAGCAGAGAATGGGCCAGTTAGCGCAGCCTTTCCGCTCTGCTTGTCAGGATGACCTTGAACATTGGCATACTTCCTTTCTGTGTGCCGGAGCTCTTCTAGCCAAGGAACATGGTGCCTTAAATTTGCTTCATAGTTTCTGAGACATTTTCACATGTTGGACTATCCAAAAATCTTTCGAAGCAGATGGGACAAATACCATTAGGAAGATGATGCCAGGAGCCAAGAGAAACAAAGTGGCTTCTCCAGTGTCCCCGAGCTCACGGGTGCAGTAGCACTAGATTTAGCCTGTTTGGAGCTGTATCGTAGACACTGCAGGCATGGGAGGACCTGGTTAATGGAAGGAGGGTCAGAGCCTGCGTTTGTTATTTCCTGATTCTTCTTATGATTCTACCACACCCCACTTTTTTAGAGTGTGTAATTTGCTGATGTTACCTCCAGCTGATCGCCTCTCCTTTTTCCTTTCATCTCCTTGCCAGATGCTTTGTCTGTGGTTTTTGAGGTCATGTTGCAAGAAGCCTTTGACGCGCCATCCACCCAGCTTCTGTCTCTCTATGTTTTATACCACTGCCTGGCCAAGAAGACAGACCTCAATGTAAGTGATCCACCCCACAGCAGGGCTGAGAGCTTTGGGAAGAACCAAGCAGTGGCTACTCAGTCGTGGAGCAGGTGGCCCGTGGAAACGTTGCCCTCAGAATCTGGAAAACAGAACCCAGTGTGTGGCTGTGTGGTGGTGCACCACTGGGCGTGTGTGCTCAGTCTGAACATTTTAGCTACTGCGTTCTAGCAGAGTTGAGCTGCATGTCTGTGCACTTGACAGAATCGCAAGTCACAGTCCCTGTGGCACATCCTGAGCTAGGCTGAGCGACCGTGGACTCTCAGAAGTGGGTCTCTGATCATCACTGAGAGCCGGGCATGGCCTATCAAGAAAGCAAGGCGGCATCTAGCTCTGACCGCAATCTGGGGTGCTGCATACTGATTATTTACTTTGCATCAGGGTTTTCGTAAGGTTGTTGTAGGTCCATTGTGTTCTGGAAGGTCCATAAAGACAAATTTTGGTTTCAGGTCCTAGGTTAGGTTGTTTAGTCACTATTTATTGCTTTCCTAAGCATAACAATACTAGTATTTGTGCAGCACTTAACTTCACACCAGGCTGTGTTCTTGTTTGTTTAAACTCATCAGTGCATTTAGGCCTCACACTGACTGTGCCGATAAGGACACAGGGACGTAGAGATGGCAGAGCCAGGCAGTCTGGCTCTGTGGTCTGCCCTTAAGTTCCAATGTAGCCTGCAGAAATCCCAGTTTGAGTAGGAACTGCAAAATGCATCTAGTGCAGGCTGTGTTGTAAAGAACACTTGGTATTGTGTGCCTTCCTAAGTGTCCTAGTCTATGATATTGCCCACATTCGTTAAATATAGTGAGCACCTACTTGTTCCCGCTATTGCCACGTGCTGGTTATACAGTGGTACACAAACATTTCCTGCCACAGGCATCTGAAACAAACACACAAGCATAAAATTATGACTATAATAAGCATGGCAGTGGAGAAGTCTGTGAAACACCCATGTGGTAGGGAACTTTGTACTTTAAACTTCAGTTGGTTAGAAATGGAAATAGTTCAGAGCTTGTCAGGAAATTGTTCTTGGGTTAATATTGAAGGATGAGCAGGAATTACTTAGCTGAAGAGCAGACAGTATGCAAACTCTCTGTGGCAGGAAGAGCGTGGTGAGCAGATGGCCAGGGCAGCCACAGTGGCAGAGTGGAAGGGAGGATGTGGGCGAGACAAGGTTGGAGAAGCCACGGAGAAGCTTGAAGCAGAGGGCATAGCGAGATCAGATTTGTGTTTCAAAAAGCGCCCTCTGGCTGTAATGTGGATGAGATTGGAGCAAGACAAGGATGGATATGGTCAGACCAGCGTAGGGGCTTTTTATTTTTTATTTTTTTAAGATTTATTTTATTCATTTGAAAGGCAGAGTTAGAGAGAAATCTTCCATCTGCTGGTTCCCTCCCCAAATGACTGCAACAGCCAGGGCTGGGCTGGTCCAGGTCCAAGCCAGGAGCCTGGCACTTCATCCGGGTCTCCCACATGGATGGCAGGGGGCCCAAACACTTGGACCATCTTCCGCTGCTTTCCCAGGCATGTTGGCAGAGAACTGGATCGGAAGTGGAGCAGCCAGGGCTCAAACCGGCACCCATATGGGATGCCGGCATTGCAGGCAGCAGCTTAACCCATTACATCAAAACACTGCCCCAGTGTAGAGACTCTTAAGGATTCCAGATAAGAGATAATGGTGGCCTAGGGACCAGGATGTGGTGGAATTTGTGACCAGTAGACGTATTTGGGAAGTAAGTAACAAGATGAAGATGTGGAGGCAGGGAGTTAGGGGTCACATACCCCCTTCTCAGTTCCTGGCTTGTAGATCTGTGCAGATGGGGTGCCATGTGTTTGCAAAGGGAATTCTGAAAAGAGATTGGGTTTTTTGAGGAAAATCATGAACTTGGCTGTGAACATCCTGCATTTTGAGATGCTTTTGAGCCGGTCGAGAGATTTCACTAGGGAAATTAGGGGCTTAACAGAAAGATCTGAACTGGAGATGCGATTTTGGAGATTAGTTTATAAACCATATATAAATGTCTGCACATAAGGCTCAGAGCGAAGGGAAGGCGAATCAGGAATGTGTTGGGCCGCAGAGTCCCTTGGAAGAGTGATCTGCCGTGTAGGGTGCTCCTGCGAGGGCGGGGTAAGATGAGGAGTAGAAACAGCTCACTGAATGTTGTAGTTTGGAGGCCCTCAGGTTGTCACCTTGGCTCCCATAGAGTAGTGGGGCAGGAAGCCAAATTGGAGTAGATTATGGAGTGCTTTAGAGCTGCAGAAAGGAGACAGCATGTCTAGGTGAGGAGGGAGCCTGGGAGTGTGAGATTCATTGCGTGTGAACAGGAGAGGTACAAGCATGCGGCAGGACAACCTTGAGGACCTTGGTGGGCTAGCGCCTGAACTCCTCCAGCGGAGCATCTACAGTAGCCTCTCAGGGTGGGCAGGGATCTGATACCTTATGTTGACACATAAATAGCTTATCGCACGAACAGCTGTAGTTGTCGTATTCCCAGACAATCAAAAAACTGCAGACTTGTGTCCGTCTGTTCCTGTTCATCTCCCTTAGGAAGTCTGCTTTCCAGTCACCTTCAGCACCTCACCTGATTGCTGGCACATCAAGGAAAACTGTCGCTTCAGTATGTCACTGCTCAGAGGAGCTTTAGCCCCTAACGCATCCCAGTACTGTAGCCCATGTTTTTCCCCATTGGAAGACATTTCTATATTTTTTAAATTCCTTATTTATTGTTGAACCAGATTTTCACACAGTTTACGGTGGGGGGCACCCAGTTTCCCTTGATTAGAGTGCTTTGCTTTTGAAACTAATGACCTGGTCCTTAATTATCAGCTCTTTCACCTACCTGTGCTGCAGAAGTGCCTGGGCAGTTTTGTTTTTCTCCCAAGGTCTTTGCCTCTTTCAGAGGTTTAGTGAAAAACGTTAAGAACTGTCGCTTGTACCACACAAAGTCGGTTCACAGTCAGGAGGCTTGGGTGCCTGTTAACCCTGGGGAGCCTGGCTCTCACCTGCCTGCAGTGGCAGCCTGCAGACCTTGCTCATTCTCCGCTTCCTCCCCGACCTCTGAGTGCAGAGACCAGCGTAGGGCAACCTGTCCTGTTTCCACGCTGAATGCAGGGCAGCTGCCCTGGCCCTGCCTACCCCTCTGACACCCGGAGGGCACAGCTCCCATTACGGGGGGAGCTGCCAAGGCTCTCCTCCGGGCCCTGTGTCGGCTGCGAGGCATTGCTGCCACTGTTGGCTGCAGGCTGTGTTTCTCCCACCACCACCACCCAGGTCTCAAAAGGCTTCAATTTTATTGAAGTGTAATTTTGCACCCTGGGTTGAAACAAATGATCATCGCTAAGTGTTTCTGATTGCCTAATTTGTTTTTAAGAGGCATAAGACAGTCTAAAAGCAACTTAATAGTGGGATTTATTGTAACACTGTGAGGAGAATTATTATTGCTGAATTGTTTAAAACTCAAGCTTCCTCCATTACCATAGAAATTTGAATGAGTGTGGGACCAGCAGAATGTTGAATCTTCCTCGATCGTCTCAAACCAGTGTTGGTCTAGAGCATGCTCCTTTTCTTTAAGCATAAATACCTTTTATTTACGAAACTGGAAGTGTGTGTGTGTGTACATATAGCTTTGTTAAACCTCTGTGTTGTTTTTTTTTTTTTTTAATTTTTTGACAGGCAGAGTGGACAGTGAGAGAGAGAGAGACAGAGAGAAAGGTCTTCCTTTTGCCGTTGGTTCACCCTCCAATGGCCGCCGCGGCCGGCGCACCGTGCTGATCGATGGCAGGAGCCAGGAGCCAGGTGCTTTTCCTGGTCTCCCATGGGGTGCAGGGCCCAAGCACCTGGGCCATCCTCCACTGCACTCCCTGGCCACAGCAGAGAGCTGGCCTGGAAGAGGGGCAACCGGGACAGAATCCGGCGCCCCAACCGGTACTAGAACCCGGTGTGCCGGCGCCGCTAGGCGGAGGATTAGCCTAGTGAGCCGCGGCGCCGGCAAACCTCTGTGTTTTTAACTTAATGTTGTAACATGTTGTTTTCTTCCACATCATGGAAGATCACATTTTTACATAAAGTGTCCGTGACTTGGCTGGCCCGTGATCTGATGTATTCTGTTGCAGTGGGAAGAGGAGCGGAACTTTGGTGCAGCCCTGTTACTTCCAGGCCTAAAGCAACAGAACTCAGTGGGTTTGAGTTCCCAGTTATATGGCTACGCACTTCTTGGTAAGCTAAGTGAGCCTTACTGACACTGTTCTTCCTAGACAGAACAGATACTTTTATCCACTGTCTAATACCAGTATAACCTGATTTAAATTTGCAAGTGAAATTCCAATTACAGCCTTCATCTTTGGACATCAAAATAGGCCACCATGGCCTCCACATTATGACATAAGAGTTAAAAGGGTTCTTAAATCCCGTCACCACTAAAGTGAAAGGCAGGCCTGGTGGCCACAGGTAATGTTTGTGTGGGGAGGAGCAGCCAGTAGAACGTTCCCCAGTCTCAACAAAGCTCTTTTTCCCCTTGAGACCTAAAGTCCAGGAGGCAGGAGATTGAGAGTTCGGGTTGCACTGTATCTTTGGTGTTGTTTTCAGGTGAGGCAGGTGAAACTCAGCACAGCCCGCCGCACTTGGGGCCAAGCAGAGAGGGGCTCGCTGTGCTTGTACAGCGCGCCATGGGGTGCAGAGGGGTGCAGGCATTGAAACCACACAGGTCACGAGGACAGCGTCCTCGCTCCTGGTCGTGTGGACTGTGCGCAGAGACCATCCATCTAAACGCGCCTCACCTCAGAGGGCTTCAGGTGCCAGCTTTCCCAGTACCCTCCCATTCTCTCTCAAATGGTTGGGCGAAAGGGTTTCGGAGTTTATCAGACTGGCCTAACAAGCATCGACCACTCCTGAAAAATCACTTTTTCCTTATTTGCCTCCTACTTTTGATTGACACGTGTTTTCCTCTGCTTTCTAATGAACACAGGACTGTGACACTGGATGGACTCCTGGGGAAGTGGGCAGGGCTTAGAAAATGTTCTCGGTTGTTGTGTCTGAGCAGAGGCCCCGGCCCTTGTGACTGGCCGCCACCAGGACACAAGCCGGGTGCCGTGTAGCCTCCTGCGACCCTGCTGGAAACAGCAGCCTGGAATGTGACTGCAGCCAGCCTCAAGCACCTTAAAGGTCTAAAATTAGCTGTCGTCTGAGCAGCTTTGTCTGTTTATGTCCTCCCATAGCTTTGTCAAATCCTCCCTCCTGGTGGCAGTGGATTTAAGACGTGTCGCCTCACAGTGACCTTGGTCGTGGATGCAGGGAGGGGTTCTGCTCAGGGAGTGCCGAGAGCCCCCCTGCTGCCATCCGTCCACCATCTGCATCTGCTGCTCCACTGTGCTGGCGTAAGGCGCCAGCAGGAGCATCCGTGTCCTGCGATCCCGTGAGGACTCCGTGATTTAACAGCCAGCAAAGCCCAAAGAAAGGGAAAAAGAGCAAGTTTCTTTCTTCCTAAAGTCACAGCTGTTTTGGAATATTTTGGAAAATGCCAAACATTGCTTGGTAGGAAAAGTTGTCAGATGTTGACAAGATTTTCACTGTAGGAAAGTTGTGGGATTGCTTTTCCTAAGGAAGATTTGGTTCTTGAAACAGAAATGGTTTCTCAGCTGACTTGCTTGCTAAGGAAGCCTCACTTTGTTTGTTTGGTTAGTTTTTTTAGAAAACTTTTATTTAATAAATATAAATTTCGAAAGTACACTTTAGGATTATAGCGGTTTTTCCCCCATAACCACCCTCCCACCCGCAAACCATCCCATTTCCTACTCCCTCTCCCATCCCATTCTTCATCAAGATTCAGTTTTAATTATTTTTATATACAGAAGATCAACTTAGTATATACTAAGTAAAGATTTCAACAGTTTGCACCCACACAGACACACCAAGTATAAAATACTGTTTGAAGACTATTTTTACCATTAATTCTCATAGTCCAACACATTAAGGACAGAGATCCTACATGGGGAGTAAGTGCACAGTGACTCCTGCTGTTGATCGAATAATTGACACTCTTATTTATGACATTAGTAATCTCCTGAGGCTCTTGTCATGAGCTGCGAAGACTGTGGAAGCCTCTTGAGTTCACAAACTCTGACTTTATTTAGACAAGGCCATAATCAAAGTGGAAGTTCTCTCCTCCCTTCAGAGAAAGGTACCTCCTTCTTTGATGGCCTGATCTTTCCACTAGGATCTCACTCACAGAGATCTTTCACTTAGGTCATTTTTTTGCCACAGTGTCTTAGCTTTCCATGCCTGAAAAACTCTCATGGGCTTTTTACCCAGATCTGAATGCCTTAAAGGGCTGATTCTGAGACCAGAGTGCTGTTTCAGGCATTTGCCATTCTATGAATCTGCTGTGTATCCCAGGGAAGCCCCACTTAAGAAGCAGGTAGGGAGACCCCTGCAGAGGCCTGCAGCCCTGCACACTTTGTGAGACTCTCTGCCAGCCCCAATGAAAAAGGGGGAAAATGAGTCGGCACAACTTTGTAGTAAGAAATGTCCACAGCGAGTGTTTCCACCTCTGCACCATCTAAGTGCAGTGCCACAACCAGCTGTGCTGAGGCTCTGGGGATGGATTTGGATTGATCCTTCCCTGTGGCTACGTAGAGCTGCCAGGCAAATGCTCGTTGTGCCGTCAGGTCACAGCGGGGTGTTGTGGAGAGGCCTTCTTCATTGTTCCTCTTGGCCCCAGGGAAGGTGGAGCTGCAGCGAGGACTGCGGGCCGTGTACCACAACATGCCTCTGATGTGGAAGCCAGGCTACCTGGACAGAGCCCTGCAAGTGATGGCGACGGCCGCCTCCTCCCCTGAAGACAGAAAGCTGTGCAGAGAAGCGGTAGGTTCCTGGGCCCTCACTCGGCCACCTGTTGACCTTGGACTTTGTTCTCACCGTCTTCCCCCACCCCTGCACTTTAGGTGGAGTAGGTACTTAGCACTTTCAGAGGAGTGGACAACCACAGAACATTCTGAGCGCTGCTGATGGAAAGCACTGGAAAGTGAGGTGGATGCTGATTTATAACTCATTGTCTGGAAGAACTAGTCCCCTCCCCTGAAACTCATGCTGAGTTCAGTAAAACACTTCCTGCTCCGTAACGCCCCCTACCCCCAGCCCTGAAATCTGAGCACCGAGGAGTGGGTGGGAGTTCGTTCTAAGCATTTCTGGTACTTCTGTACCCTCACGTGTCCTGAAGGACCACGGAGCATTCTTTCTCCAGATGCGAATCTGGACACCAGAGGTGGCAGGCTTGCTTTCCTGCACTCACCCGTTCTTGGTAAACGTATGCTGCTGAGGCCGGGGTCCGATGTGCCTCTCAGAGTTCCCAGGGGGTCGCTGCACCTGGACTACAACACCGTCCCCACAGCTCACCCCTAGTGGGTGATGCCCTGAACTTACTGGACTTAGGTCCCAGGAGATGCAACGAGTGCTCCGCCCCACAGGCAGCCACAGCGTCCGCTCTTGGCCATGTGCGTTTATACCCAGAGTGAGGCCTGGAGAGACGTCGGCTGCCTCCTTGCCAGGGTGTGAAGGTTCCCTTGGAGGTGCTTGTCTGTGTTGCCTTGACCCTGATTCCATGGGCTGTGCCCTTGGCCTTCATTGCAGGCATGGTGCACAGGTCTGGTACCTGCCTGGCACCTTCTACTAACATCTAGTGAACCGTTACAATCTTCGCCACGTGTTTGGGCTAAAAGATATACATTGCTAAGATACACGCTTCAACACTGCTCTGGTCAGTGCTGGTGATGGAAGATATAAAATTACATGTAAATTTTTTGCCAGGGAAATAGCCCTTTCAATTGGAGCCAGATTTGCATTGTTTTTTTCCTGACTCCATAGGAGTTGGGTGTAGTGTATCAGTAGTAATCAAAGGCTGTGGAGTATTTTCTGAATTTGCATTATGTGATGTGGACAGGGCTGGTCATATCCAGCAGGTGCACCGGCCTTGCCAGTGTTTCTCTGCCGTCTGATAGACTAGGCCCTCCGCGGTCCAGGGAGCTGAACGCTGCAGTGAAAGTGAGGAGGAGAGGCTTCAACAAAAACCACCCTGTGCTCTTCAGTACTGCTTCTGTCACAGCTGTCACCTCACTCAAAACCTCCACGCTTGCATCTCTGGTGTTTGCCAACAGCTCATGTGGGTGACACTGATTATTAATTTTCAGATACTCTGTGAGCTGAAGTCTTTGTCAGAGAGCGACCCCTGCCCATCCAGAGGCTTTTCCAGGCACTCAGCATGACGTCTTGTTGGTTGTGGTCTGCAGTGGTCTTTTCAGTTCCAAACTGACTGAGGGAAATAGACATGGATGGCAGAGGTTCACGAGCACCCATCAGGTGCCATTGCTCGGTGCCTCCCTGGCTGATTAAATGCAGCTTGAATGTGATGGTGCTTAGGCACATAATTCTTAGCTTGCTTATCTACATCATCTAATTTGTACGGAGTGTTCTGTCCAGTCAACACATACGGTGTTATGTGGACAAATAGAACCATTCACGTTTGCTACAAGTGTATGTAATCCTCTCCTGGTTTTTTAGGGCCTGTTTGCCCTGTCTCCTTCTCCAGTCTGTCTGCACACTGAGCATCCGGACCGCCCCGATGCACAGTCCCTGACCCTCTGTCTGCTCTGCAGCTCGACGTGCTGGACGCTGTGCTGAAGGCTGTGACGTCCCCAGCCGCCGAGGCCTTGGAAGAGCAGCCCCAGGAAGGCGAAGGCACGCTGGGCCCAGCCCACCTGGTGGAGCAGTTAGACATCGAGGAGACCGAGCAGTCCAAGCTTCCCCAGTACCTGGAGCGCTTTCAGGTAAAGCAGCCGGGTACTGAGTGTCAGCTGTGCATACTCCCTCCACCTCTGCTGTGGGGACAGGCAGACTGAGGCCTTGTGTCACACACAAAGGCATTAAAAACTGGCATCAAAAATGGCATTTTTATTGCTACACACAGGAAGTGGTCTGAAGAGAGAGCAATGGAATGTGTCTGTTCCTTCTGTACTCGAGTTAACCAGTCGCAGTGTTGCTCCGTAACACAGCAGGCGGCTACACACTCGTCCCTGCTGGGGGCCTGCTGCCTCCTCACAGCCACAGCCTGGCTCCCGCCCCAGGCGGGAAGGGTCTGGTCACGTGTTAATGACCCAGCACCCAGTTAGCTGTGACAGAGCCACATGTGAGCAGGTCGGGATGGGGGCAGGCGTCGTCTGTTGCTCGACTTTGGCTGCTTTTTGTCATGTCTCATGTGCCTGGAAGATTGGAACAGGTTCCCACCATTTCTCCCTGGGCCGGCCCTTTGATAGCTGTGGACTCTGTACATCCCCAAGAGCTCCATGTTGAGACTCAGAGAGAAAGGGAGAGAGAGAGTCAGTGTCTGAGCCCCTGGCGTCTTGCTTGCTTTGTTTCTGACCCAGCACCAGGGGAATGGGACTTAGCCCCATCCATGCCCGCTGACCTCTTGTGACACTTGGGGACAGGTGGCTATAAACTTCGCTGGGTCGTTGCATTTCTGTTTCTTCAGGAGTTATACTGAACCTGCCGTGGGAAAGGTACTGCCCGTGTTATCGGGAGATTCTCTTGTATCTGTAGCAGCTGTTTGTCCCAGTACTTCTATAAGGTCATGGTCCGTTCTGTCATTTGAAACCAGGAAGGAAGTGTCAATCCCCTTTCCTGAGACCGAGAATTGGCAGCAGAGCAGTATCTTTCCTCTCTACTCGGCATATTTGGCTGAAGAAAACTTAGTCTGCTGAGCCCCACGGATTACCACTTGCCACCTTCACACAGAGCAGGGTTGCTACATCGCTCTCAGAAGTGACCACTCCTGTCCCTTGAGTCTCCCAGGGCAGAGCTGTGTGCCTATTTTAAGTTCTCAGCTATCACTCTTCTGTGGACACATTTTTATAAAAATTGAAGGAAAAGAGATTGGAGACTTCATGCCTGCTGGCCGGGTGTCACGTGTCACTGCACCGCCCTGCTCCTCACCAGAGCCCTGGCTCAGGGAGCCCTCACGCCACGTTGCACAACCACAAGGCCCAGAGGGACTGACCCGCCAGCCACTGATTGACTTTGAACCAAAGTTCACTGACTCAGACCCAAGTCCTCATTCTCCCATCCCAGGCCTGCTCCTTGGCCTCAAACCCCACTCTGGGTGACACCTGAGAGAATCATTGTCATTGTACATTTCCTTTTCGTCCCGTGTCTTCATTGTTACTAGTCTGAGGTCATCTGTTTAGACTCATTCTTATGTGGCTGACCCGTCTCACGAGGTCTCGGGCCACTCCTCAGCCCGTGGACTCCGCCTCCCCTACAGCTGTGCACTTCCTGGGAGCAGGCCTCACCGCTGTGCCCGGTGAGCCACATTTGCTTGTGGAACACCCGGGGTTGTGTGGGACGAGCTGCAGCAGGGCCCTAAGTGGTGCTGGCTGATCCTCGCATCTTGGAAGGCGTAAGCAGATTCGGGTTTTAATGCCTTCCTTCTCCCAGAGTCAAGCACTGACCAACCCGAGCTGCCGTCCAGATGCTGCTGGGACGGACGGAGAGGCTGACCCGCAGGGGAGCACAGCAGGTGCAAGCGTGCCACGGCGCAGGAGAGCACGCCGGGAGTGAGGAACCGAAAGGATGTCCCTCTGTTGGGAGGAACGCTCGGAAGGCAGTGTGTCAGTGTTTCTAAGGAAATGCTGCGGAGGGTTCGCTCCAGTTTATCCGGCGTCTCCGCCATTTTGTTTGCATCTTGAATTCTCGTGCTTGGAGTTCGCTGCTTGGTTGGGTCTGGGCCAGAACAGGAGCACAGATCTTGTTGCACACGGATGGTGTGAGTGAAGGGCAGAAACAGCACGTGGCGCCGTGAGTGGCAGGAAGTGGCCGGAGATCACCGAGCCGGGTGGAAGGCCATGCCTCTTCTGCAGCAGACGCGTGTGTTTGCACCGACTTCATCTCCTCTCCTCTTGTATTCCTCCCCCTTTCTCTTTCTTCCTTGTCACCCACAGGCCTTGCAGGCCGAGCTCCAGGCCCTGGGCAGAGTGGAATCAGAAAGCCTTGTGACTCTGACCACCCAGCTGGTCAAGGAGCAGCTCCCCAGCTGCGAGGCCGAGGACCTGGCCACCTACGAGCAGAAACAGCAGCAGTGGCGGCAGGAGCAGGTGCAGCTGATCCAGAGGGAACAGGAGCAGCGGGAGAAGGCGAGAAAGGAGCACCAGGCCCGGCAAGCAGCAAAGGCTTCTGCGTGACAGGCCGTGGGCCCCCCCTCCAGCAGCTCCTCAGTGCCCGGGCCGGAGGGCGGCAGCAGGGGGCTACGGCCTCTGTGTGACAGGCCGTGGGCACCCCCACCCCCACCCCCAGCAGCTCCTCAGTGACTCGGCCCAGGGGGTGGCAGCAGGGGGCTACGGCCTCTGTCTGCGTGACAGGCCACAGCCCCCCACCCCCACCCTGCCAGCAGCACCTCAGTGACCCAGCCCAGGATGCGGCAGCGGGGGGCAGCAGCCTCAGCTTCCTCCTCAAAGCTTCTCCTGCTCTAACGCAGACACCTGTGTCCCACTGTCAAGAGGCTGTCACTACCTGTCCACAAGCCACCGAAGCCACCAGCTCTACCTGTAGGGGGCTCTTGGGGCTTTCTGTGGGGGTCCAGGGGCACCAGAGGCAATTTTCAGCTTTGAAAATCCCAGCACCTTCCTGGTGGTAGGAGAAGGTAAGGCTGAGAGCCGGGTCTCCCAGCCCAGGCACGTGAGACCAGGTGCAGTGCGCATGCCGACGCCTGTGCCCTGAGCCGCCTCGCCAGCGCTGAGAGCCGGCTAGGGTGTGCATACACACCCACGCTCTGCCTTCCACCACACCTCCCTCTCCGGACCTGCCCTGGGAGAAGTGCAGGAGTAAACCCAATAGCACGAACCCTGTGGACTTCCAGGTGTAGGCACCCACAGTGACGTTTTTAGAATGGAAGGGCTCTTGAGAAAGCCAGTCCTGGCTAGGACACCTTCGTCAACACTGGGGTCACTTTTTCCAAAGCTTTGTATCAGCACAATGAGCCGCTGGTGCACATGCACACACGCACAACCTGTGAATGCCAAGCTGGAGACAGCGAGATGGGCACGGGGCTATGAGGACTGTCGGGACGGCAAGTGCCCTGAGTTTGCCCCTCTGTGACACGGGCCAGGGCCGCTGCCCGCCGTGTCCTGTTGCCGGGAAGTGCAGTGCCAGCTTTCCCTCAGGCCTGTGCTCTTCTGTCGAGAACCTGTGGAAATAAATGTGCTGGCATTGTTTGTGTGTGATCTTTGGAGGAGAAAGAGGAAGTGTTACCATCAATGTCGTTACCATCATTTTGAGCAACTTATTTTCAATCTTCCTTCCCCATCAGACCAGCATTTCTAATCATCATCACCACCACTACCACTACAGACTTACCCTGTTTTTAACATTTATTGGAAAGCAGGGTGACAGGGAGAGGAAGAGACAGAGAGGTTTTCTATCCGCTGGTTCACTCCCCAAATGACCACAACAGCCAGGGTTGAGGTTGGCCGGAGCCGGGAGCTCCATCTGGGTCTCCCATGTGGATGCAACCATCTTCTGCCGTCACAGGTGCATTAGCAAGGAACTGGATCAGAAGTGGAGCAGCTGAGACTTGGGCCATCTGCTGCTGCTTTCCCAGGTCATTATCAAGGAGCTGGATTGAAAGTGGAGTAGCCAGGACTCAAACTGGCACCCATATGGGATGCCCACTTTGCAGATAGCAGTTTAACCTATCATGCCACAGTGCTGGCCCCTTAAAACATTTTTAAAAGGCAAAATTTAGATGCAGGGACAGACAAGCAGGAGAAAAGATGACCCCATGTCCGGAGTGGTGCACCTACAAGTGGAGGGACGCCACAGTGTGCCCCTGGAACCATCGGAGAGACTCCGGGCCTGCTGACACCTTGGTGTCTGACTTCAAGCCACCAGAACTTTGTTTTGTCAAGAGCCCAGTTTGAGGTACTTGGTTCTGACAGCCCTAGGAGACTGATACACCAGCAGTTGTTTGTTTGTTTGCTTCTGACCTACTGAGCATTGGCAGACACAGCTGTAAAATTACGCTGGTGAGAGTCTGCTGCAAATTTTGGCAGTCCTCTTTAGTTCCACGGTCCTCTTCAGTTCCGTGGCCCTCCCGTTCATCCTGAGAGGCTCTTCCCCTGCAGAAGCCCCCGACTCTTGCCTTCAGAACTAGAGCCCCTGTCCCTTGTTAAAGACGTTTGAGGCCACAGGACGCCCGCCTTTCTCAGTTGATGCTCTCACTAGGGTTTCTCGCCAGCATCTCCGCTGTGTTCCAGGGTTAGACTTTGACTCTAACTCTGACTGCAGACCTGCCTGACTGCTCCGGGACCACCATGCATTTCCTCTCCATCTTGCATCTTCTCTCCTGATGTCTGATTGGAGAGCTCATTCCCTTAACAAAACAAAAGGCCCGTTCCTCCATGGCTCAGGCTACCCTATTTGTTGCCTTTTCATCACCAAACTTTTTTTTTTTTTTTTTTTGACAGGTAGAGTGGACAGTGAGAGAGAGAGAGAGAGACAGAGAGAAAGGTCTTCCTTTGCCATTGGTTCCCCCTCCAATGGCCGCCGCAGCCAGTGCGCTGCTGATCCGAAGGCAGGAGCCAGGTGCTTTTCCTGGTCTCCCATGGGGTGCAGGGCCCAAGCACGTGGGCCATCCTCCACTGCCTTCCCTGGCCACAGCAGAGAGCTGGCCTGGAAGAGGGGCAACCGGGACAGAATCCGGTGCCCCAACCGGGACTAGAACCCAGTGTGCTGGCACCGCAAGGCGGAGGATTAGTCTATTGAGCCACGGCGCCAGCCAAGATTCTCTCTCTCACTCCTGCTCTTCCTTACCCTCACCCTCTCTCTGTAACTCTGCCTTTCAAGTAAATAAAAAATTAAATTAAAAATAAGTGGAGGAGCCAGGACTTGCCCCAGGCACTCCAGTATGGGACGCGAGTGTCCCAAGTGCTGTTTTAACCACTGCGAAATGCCCACCCCCCAGCACCAAACTGGAAACTCCAGGAAGACAGGCACTCTATGTGTCTTGTCATTGATTGTGTCCTCATAGAGTACAGTCACTGGGGCCGGCATTGTGGCGTAGCAAGTAAAGTCGCTGCCTGCAATGCTGGCGTCCCGCGTGGGTGCTGGTTCAAGTCCCACTTCCAAACCAGTTCCCTGCTAATGCTCCTGGGAAGGCAGCAGAAGTTGGCCCAGATACTTGGGCCCCTACAGGAAGAAGTTCCTGGCTCCTCACTTCAGCTTGGCCCAGCCCTGGACCTTACAGCCATTTGGGGGAATGAACCTATAAGTGAAAGATCTCTCCCTTCCTCCCCCCCCCTTTTCTCTATGTAACTCTGCCTTTCAAAGAAATAAATACATCTTTTTAAAAAAAAGTGCTGTCATTACCATAAGTATTTATGAATAGAATTATTTTTATTTTTTTAAGATTTATTTATTTACTTGAAAGAGTTACACAGAGAGAGGAGAGGCAGAGAGTGAGAGAGAGGTCTTCCATCCTCTGGTTCACTCCCCAAATGACCGCAACGGCTGGAGCTGTATCAATCCAAAGCCAGGAGCCAGGAGCTTCCTCCGGGTCTCCCACATGGGTGCAGGGGCCCAAGGACTTGGGCCATCTTCCACTGCTTTCCCAGGCCATAGCAGAGAGCTGGATCGGAAGTGGAGCAGCCGGGACTTGAACCAGCGCCTATATAGGATGCCAGCACTGAAGATGGCAACTTAACGTGCTGTGCCACATTCCAGCCCAAGGTAGAATTAATTTATCAGGCTGAAAGTCTTCAGGCTGAGATGCTGGAAGCCATGTGGTACTAGGTGAGGGTTTTATACAGAGAAGGCCTCTTTGAATCCTACAAAGTGTCCTGTAGGCCCAAGTTGTCAGCAGGTGGGGAGCCTGTGGGAGGGTGTGGGTGGGGCCGGAGAATATCAGAATTCTCTCTGTGCCTCCCCTGTGTCCCACTTACCTACCTCGACACAGGAGATTTGGAACTGACACAGCCTTGGCACAAATCTCCTAAGTCCTAGACCAATAATGGGAGCCATATTAAACGTATAGGCGTTGCCTTGTTTAACCCACAAGAATGTGGTTACAGCTCCATTTTTAGAAATGGGAAAGTAGAGGCTATGAGAAGTGATTCGATGCCAGGGTCCACTTCCGTGATTGAAGAGCCAGGGACAACCCGGATTTGACTTGAAGGGCTACACTCCCAGACTGGGGCGGTGGCTGTCGGTTTGTGCTCCCCCCACAGCAGGAGTTTGAGTGCAAGTACAGCAGTCGGAGGTGAAGACAGACCCGGAGAAGGACTGGAGTCGGAGAGGGGAGGAAGGATTGCGTGAGTGGCTTGGGGTGGGCTTGCCCCTGCCGGGGACCCTTGGAGCGACTGCGCACACCCCTCAGCGGTGTCCACGGAGGGCCGAGGTGGCTGCGTGTTCATCCACGAACTCCATCGCCGTGTTGGTCAGGGACACTCCCGGCCTGCTCCTAGGGCGGTGCTGGCACACTCCCCCGTCCTCTGTGCGGGGCAGCGTCTGCAGTGGCCCGGTCCTCAGAGGAAGCCCAGGACTGCGGGTCCTGACTTGGTAGGACGTCTGCAAGTTTTCTGTTTTCTTTATTTCAGAAACAACTCCCATCTGCAGGTTCACTCCCCAGACGCCCCCATGATAGCCAGAAGCCGGGAACCGAACCTGGGTCTCCCCTGTGAGTGGCAGGAAGCCCGTTACTAGAGCCATCACTGCTGCTTTCCGGGTTTGCACCAGCAGGAAGCTGAGGCAGGAATCGAGCCTGGTGCAGGTGTGGGATGCAGGCACCCTCGCGGTCTCTTGGGGGATCTTCCATGGTCGCAGCTGAAGAGCTGCTATGGGCATCTACTACACAGCGGCCAAGAGTGGTGCCCAGCGTGTTACAGTGCACAGAAGAGCTTCTCACCACGAGGAGCGTTCCGGTGTGCAGAGTGTCCATGGCGCTGAGGTTGGAAAGCCCGGCCCGGTGTGTATGGACCGGTCCCCCCAGAAGATTGTGGTGACCTAGATAAGACCTAAACATGCTGGTGGCAGAGAGCTCATTTACGACTGCGGTTTCTCAGGCCAGAAGAGTACTCAGTGCTAGGTCTCTCTTGTCTAACTGAGAACATAAGACATGCAGTGACACAGGGTGGGCCACTATTCTTCCGAAACAAGGACCCCCTGGGGGAAAGGGTATGATCATAATTCTGCTGTCTGGGTAAACTGAGTCGGCCATCTCGGGTTCTGCAGGGCGGATGCGGGGCCGCGACCCCAGCAAGGGCAGGTGCCTGACACCCTCACTGGGAGAAAGGGGTGACCTGTCACGTGGCCTCAGAGATCTTGGACTTCAGTGAATCATAAATGCAGAAATGTGGTGCAAGTGTATTCTCATCAACTTCTCAAGCTCTGAAAAGGATGAATCTTTAAGACCCCTCTTGAGGAAACGGGGAAAGGGGGGTACTGTTCCACCTCGTTATGTCAGCACAATTACGTCTTTTTTGTTTTTCCTCTAAATAACAGCCTCTTGGCTTGAAGATAACCTCTTCTCTCCCCTGGTCCTTTAGGCTCTCCACTGACCTGGCGCACTACTATAAGGACGCTCTGCCTGCAGAGTAGAAGGAGCCCAAACCAGGGACCGTGCGGTGCCCCGAGATTGCAGCAGAGGGCACTGGGACCTTCCTTGAAACCCAGATATTATTTGGGCTGTGTGTGCTTATTATCTATGAAGGTTAGAGATTGCAGATCCGAGCCGGATGTGTTCAAAAACAATGAATACGTTCTTGCGAAAAGTATCTGAAAACAGATGCATTACAGGCTGTGAGCGCTGGGTCAAGGCTGTGAGGCAGGCTTTTAAAGGGACAGGGCGTCCCCCGAGCAGCCCAGGGGGAGGAGAGTCGCTTGCTTTCTTGGCCCCTGTGATGCTCCATCTCTGCGGAGTTCAACGTTTTCATCCTTAACATAGTCTCAGAAGCTAATATGCCCATGATGGTGTGTGAAACAGACCGAGAACGCCCAGTGTGAGTTTCCCCCGGGGACAGGACAGTGAGTCCCTGTTGGGTGAGTTTCCCAGGCAGCCACACCCGCCTCTTGGTTGCAGACATCATGCTGAGGGCTTCTCATTGAATTCCCGTTATCCTGCCTGATGAAACACATGCTCTCTCACCCTTGAAGCAACACTGCCAGGCAGGGCCTATCAGCCACATTGAGCAGAGCAGTAAACAGACTTCAGTGCAATCAGAATGCGACGCGGACAGTGTGTGAACTAAACCGTGTCGGAGTCCAAAGCCACTTTTCTTTCTTTTTTTTTTTTTTTTTAAGATTATTTATTTGAAAGTTACACACAGAGAGGAGAGGCAGAGAGAGAGGCCTTCCATCTGCTGACTCACTCCCGAAATGGCCGCAACAGCCAGAGCTGCACCAATTCAAAGCCAGGAACCGGGGGCCCAAGGACTTGGGCCATCTTCTACTGCTTTCCAAGACCATAGCAGAGAGCTGGATCGGAAGGGGAGCAGCCAGGACTCCAACCAGCGCCCATATAGAATGCAGGCACTGCAGGTGGCAGCTTTAACACACTATGCCGCATCGCCAACCCCCAACCCACTCTTCATCTAATACACCATGTAAAACTGCCATGGCAACCTGAGATGAGGTACATTTGCACATTCACTCACTCAACAAGCATTTATTGGACAGCTACCATGTAGAACTATTAACACAGGCACTGAGGACACAACAAGGAACAAAATAGGCATTTACATTCTAAGGAAGCAGGTAGATGGTTAAAAAGTATGTAATATATCCTACAGCAAGAAATTATAATGAGACAAAGCAAGGATGCTGGTTAAGTGGGGGAGGCTGCAACTTAAAACAGGGCGCTTAGGAAAAGCCTCCCTAGAAGGTGTGATTTGAACAAAGCCCCTTGAGGGAGAGGTTGAGAATCATGGAGTCACCCCTAGGGAGAAGCATGCCTGCCGGACACAGCAATGCACCAAGTCCTGGAGATGAAGGTGTGAGGAGCCGAGGAATAGCAAGGCAGCCAGTGTGGCTGGAGTAGAGTGTGTAAGGCAGAGAGGCGAGGTGTAAAAGAAGGGGTGGCCTGGCCTGTGAGTTAGGGCAGTGGGCTTTCCTCGGGCAGGCTGCTTGAAGTTGTTGAGCTAGGGTGACATCCTCTGATGGGGCATTTTTAGAAGCTAGAGCAGCTGGCCAGCACCGTGGCTCAACAGGCTAATCCTCTGCCTTGCGGCACTGGCACACCAGGTTCTAGTCCCGGTCGGGGCTCCGGATTCTGTCCTGGTTGCCCCTCTTCTATGGCCCGGGAAGTGCAGTGGAGGATGGCCCAAGTGCTTGGGCCCTGTACCCATGGGAGACCAGGAGAAGCACCTGGCTCCTGCCTTCGGATCATCGTGGTGCGCCGGCTGCAGCGCACCTGCCGCGGCGGCCATTGGAGGGTGAACCAACAGCAAAGGAAGACCTTTCTCTCTGTCTCTCTCTCACTGTCCACTCTGCCTGTCAAAAAAAAAAAAAAAAGCTAGAGCAGCTGCTACATGGAGACTAAGCCACAAGGGCAGGGATAGGAAACAGGAAGGTAAATTGGGAGGCTGTGACAATAACCAGGACAGAAATGATTGGCTTGGACAAGAACAGCAGCAGTGCATGTGGGTACGAGGGATGGGACTGGGTGTGTATTTTCAAGGTTGAGCACTTTTGCTGATGGGCCCCATTTTTTTTTAACCTGGACAACTGGAATTATGTATCCATGTATTTGCCGTTGACTAAAGTATTAAAGTCTAGAGGTAGAGGCAGTTTGGGGAGGGAAATGAGGGTTTTGGGTGGGGCCGTGTTAAATTTGGGATATTTTGGAGATCCCTATTGGAAATCCAAATGGAGATCTTAACAGACAACTGGATGTGACTTTGAGGATCAGAGAAGAGGTATTGGCTGCAGACACAGCTGGAGGAGTCAGCATCAGCTCCCACGTGGTACTCAGGCTGCATTCAAGTAGCCTGCGTTGCTCCTCAGAGTGGGGACCGCCACGATCATGAACTGGATGAGCTGGACCACGAACTAGAGCTGCGTCGGCTGGTGTACAGAGATCTCCCTGGGAACCAAGCCTGATCAGCCTTCCTCCATCGACTGCGAACACTGCTGGTGACTCCCCAAGAATTAGCCAGAAGAGTTGCTCATATGAAAGGAACTGGGTGTGACACAAACCTCGCAGGCAGCCAGTGAGTGTCTCAGACATACAACAGAAGATTGAAGAGGAAACGGGGAGCTGGAATTGTGGGAGATGCCAAGAACTCAGGAGTCAGGAATGTGCTAAAAGGCCATTGGGAGAACACAGAGAAGCATCCAGAATGGATAAAACAGACAGAGGGAGAACATACAGTCACAGGACCTCAATAGATCTTTGTTGTTTTGTTTGAGAGACAGGAAAAAAGCAAGCTTTCTCCAACGTATAAAGAAGGTTCAGCTGGAAAGAGATGAGCTCTTCTCCCATCTGCTGGGCCTAGGTCGGCAGGGAGTGGGACTTAAACAGGGCGGAGTTCACTTAGGGTGACCCGGCCCCCAAGCAGTCCCCAGGACAGGGCAGCGCTGGGAAACCAGGACGGGGACGGTTTGTCCCCATAGGCTCAATCCAGAAAGCAGAGTTTCCGGAACTGAACAGTTCAACCATGGACTAGAAAACCACTTACTCAACTATTTTGTTTTAGTTTGAGAAGTGTAATTAAAATCTCTAGAGGGATCGTTTCCCACCCTGAGAGCTCACCTGGCTTAACCTTTTCCTTTCTGGAGGGATTACAGAATCCTTCGTGCAAATGGTGATTTCTGACCAGACTGGTCAGGCAGCCCCACGGCTTTGGAGGTACAAGGTGAGCTAGGATGGAGTGTATGTGAGTGACAGGACGATGACTTGGGAGAGGCTGCAGGCAGACAGGGCCAAGGGCTGGAAGCACATCTTCCTGGGGCCACGTGGAGGAACTGAGGTGCCCGTTATCCCATTATGCATTGCCATCTTGAGCGGTCCGTACTCCCCCAATGTGTGCTGACGGTGCTCTCTGCTGGGCCTGTGTGACCTGGTGCCTTTGCCTGGACTTGCTCCCTGGGCACTTCCCTCACTCCTCTCCCAGGGCTCAGAGCTGGGACCTCAGACCTTAGACAACATCTCTGGGGCTTCGCCGCTGGCCACCCAAGCTCCCTCCTGAACTTGAGGCACTCCCATCACAACGCGCTGTCCTCATCTCTCGTCTTCCCCAAGCAGCGCGTGTTCACCCTGAAATCCCCTGGTACAGGTGCAAAGTATAGGTGCAGGAATTCCAAGGAGGGCAGAGAGGACACCTGCTTGGCATTCTCTGTTACACATAAATCACTTCTCCCTGACAGTTTTCGGCACCTGTGTATGAGCCAGACCCACAGCACACGATGTTAGATGATACAGCATATTCTGCAGTCATGAGCAAAAATTAAGAAGTAGCTAAGGTGTTGGGCGTAACCGCTGAGTCCAGTGCTTCCACAGCACCAGCAGGTCAGCCGTGGAAGGGTCCATGGAATCTGACCACCTTGTCAGATGCTCTTTTCCCTGGGGAGAGAAGGAGCTCCAACAGAGCTCGGATTCAAATCTGGCTCTTTGGGGCCCAGCGCCATGGCTCAGCAGGTTAATCTTCCGCCTGTGGCGTCGGCATCCCATATGGGCGCCGGTTCTAGTCCCAGCTGCCCCTCTTCCAATCCAGCTCTCTGCTGCTGCTGTGGCCTGGGAAAGCAGTAGAAGATGGCCCAAGTCCTTGGGCACCTGCACCCACGTGGGAGACCCAGAAGCAGTTCCTGGCTCCTGGCTTCAGATCGGTGCAGCTCCGGCTGTTGCGGCCAACTGGGGAGTGAACCAGCGGATGGAAGACCTCTCTCTCTCTTTCTCTCTGCCACTCCTCTTTGTAACTCTTTCAAAAAAAAAAAAAAAATTGTGGCTCTTTGTTTGCTTACAGTTGGTGCAGGAAATCCACCCTCCTTCAGCTACAGTCATCTATTCATTTTCTATTTTGTTTTTTAAGATTGATTTTATTTGTTTGAAAGGTAGAGTTAGAGAGAGGGAAAAAGAGAGATCTTCCATCTGCTGGTTCACTCCCCCAAATGGCCGCAATGGCTGGGGCTGGACCAAGAGCCAAGAACTGCTTCCTGGTCTCCCACGTGGGTGCAGGGACCCCAGGACTTGGGCCATCCTCCACTGCTTTCCCAGGCCATAACAGAGAGCTGGATCGGAAGAGGAGCAGCCGGGAAGTCGAACCGGCACCCATATGGGATGTCGGCACTGCAGGCAGCGGCCCTACCTGCTATGCCACAGCAAGGGCCCCAAGTCTATTTATTTAAGGCATAACTTGCACAGCTCCTTCCGCTCACCTCCTGGTTTCTGTCCCTCTCGGGCCTGGTTACACAAGATAAAGAGGTTGACCACCGGGAAACAGCAGCGGGACCCTGTGGACTCCCACCTGAGAACAGGACCACCCGGGCCCAGGGGCTTCGGCTGTTCCACGTGGGCAGATGAGTCCAGCTCAGGAACACAAAAGCCAAAGACAGCACAGCAGACACGTGACCTTTTGCCACTTTTGTATTTTATTGTGGAACTGAGGTTTTTTTTTTTTTTTCCTTTACATCAAATATCCTCAATGGAAGAGGGGATATTGCACACAAATATCATAAAAGCACTACAGATTACTTTCACTGGAAACTAATTTTCTACATTAGATATGACTGGATAGGATAGAAGTGATGCAGGATTATAAGACATCATACCATACACAGCTGCAGACTGACACAAACACCATTCAGAACGAGAGAGAGGAGTGTGGAGTGCTTCTCGTTGCGGCTCAAGACGCTCCTCCAGGGCGGCAGGGAGCAGGGCCGCACGCAGCGTGGAGAGCGAGGCCGACCGCCGCGGAATGTTCTAGAAAGGGCAGCCTGGCCTTGGCCTGGCGCCTCTCCTCCAGGCTCCCGCCTTGGGGAGCTCCACACAAGTGCAGAGAAGCTGTTGGTTGGTTTCCCTTCCTTTTCAGTCTTTGATGCTGCCTTGTACATGAACTTCATAAAGTCACAGCTTTTTTTTTTTAATAGTAAATAGTTTTAATACCAGGTGAAAAACCTAATTGCTTTCAGAGAATGCTCATCCCTAGGCTGCTTTTGGTGTGTTGTTCAGTTGGCTAAAAGATAAAAGCTTACAGTTCCTTTCAAATAGAAACAGGATCTTCTAAATCTGAAGAGCAAAAAAAAAAAAAAAAAAAGTCATTATCCTAACTCACATGATCCTTGCGAGCAGGAATCCCTGTGACAGGTGACTAAAAGAGAGGCAAGAAAAGCAATTTCAGCATTGTAGAGCAGCTCCTGGGAGCTGAAATTTGGTAACAGAGGGAAAATAGAAGGTGGTAAAACTTCCATTAGCAAATGATTAAATCTTATTAAATGAGTGTCAGAAAGTTCCTAAACCATATAAGCTACTGGAGACACTTAAAACATTCATACACACTGGGGAAACCATTCACTATGATATGTTAAGAAAAAAAATTCTTTTTTGAACTCCATGGAAATGGTGTTTGGGGGAGGGGGGAGTCAGTCCTTGTATCCAGTCCCACCACAAGACTGAGAAAGCATGCACAGGGATTGGGGTCTGCAGAAAGCGGGGGTTGGGGGGGATTGTTAAAATTGACAATGGAGGATCATCTCTAACATTTCGTCTCTGCAGAATTTTGTTTAGGAATACTACCAAAAAGGGTCATGGTCATGGGTGTGATCTCGATAGAAAGCCATCCTTCACCGAGAGTGTCAATTCCTTCCACTCAGATGTTCAGTCTACACCATCGGATCAAGTACTCAGTATGAACAAAGCTCTAGAAGTCTACGTCCATCTTTCGTTCTCACCATGAATGTACATGGCACACTGTGATGGCTGTTACTAAACGAATTGTGTGTTTATGGAACTAGCAAAATTAGGTTAGTCACACAGGTAGGAAAGGTGTCCAGAGGACAGGAGCAACCTGTCATGCAAATATTGGTTTTCCTGATATACTTAGGTTCTGTGGTCATCATCAAGAACAATGGATGGAGAAAGGTATAGGTAGATTTCACTGGAAAAAGAACCAGCTGTCTAGTGACAGTTTTTATATATTTTCCCCATTAAATCCCATTGAAGAAAAAAAAAAAGAGAGAGAGAAAAGGGAGTGGAGCAGAATGGTTATAACTGAAGACTGCCTATAATTCTCCTAAAATGTTTGAATTTTTAAAAGCAAAATCATGTACATGTGATATACATTTAATTTGGGAAACTGGAGTAGAACTCCATCTTCTATCAAAGGAAAGTCAACCAGAGGTCTGGATTTGGCAAGAAGGCTAGAAATGTTTCTCTTCCCAGGCATAAGGAGGATCAATTCAACCTGATAACTAACCATTAAACAATTAGCTTAGGTTGTCTCCTAAAACAAGTTTGAAGCAGATGAGTTTATACTCAATGAAATCCATGTTCGTCACAATGACTTTTCCATCACGTGTTAACTGTTTGTACCTTTAATGTTACTTTTAAGGACTTGAAAGAAATGGGGAATAAATAAAAGCTGCATTTCTAGAGAAGCCTAACAAAAATAGAATATTAATTTCCTTAAAAAAATTAAACATTTGAAAAATGTAATTCACAGCATTAAGTAGACTGCATAGCTCCCCAGGGAAGGGACCCTGAAGAAGCACTGGTTAAACCCTCATAGTAGTTAGCAGTGCAAAACATACACTCATCAGACAAAAATAAACTAAAATGTTAATTCTGAAATAAATAACTAACATAGAAAATAAAATGAGGTCATTGTTCACTGCTCCGCAGACCTGCGCGTCTGCAGGAATCTTTACGTGACGGCTGAGAGCTTGCCACATGGGAACACTGGGTGCGTGGATCTGCGGCCGGAAACCTGCCATCAGTTCTAATCAGGATCTGGCTTCCCAGGTTCACAGTTCAATGATGACAATGACGAAAATGAGCTCTGGACTCTACATGGTGAACCATAGACTTGGGAGTTCATTGGATTCCATGTATTATTTGTTTCATTTATTTTTCCAGAAAAGAAAATCCCAAAGCAGATTTTGCCAGGGTTCTTCTACCTCATGGTTGAAGATCTTGAGAGAAGTATGTAGGTCATCACTAGTGATCTATTCGTAAAGGTCTTGAAAAGTAGCCTACCATGCCTTTCTCCCCCACTCTCAAATAGCACATACTCAGCTTTTCATGTTATGGGAACCAAAGGGTGGGAGGTATCATTATTCCTGGTAGTTATGGGTTTTTAATAAATATTATTACTGCAATATCAGACTTCAATCTTGCCAGAACTTCAAATGACATTATTCAATGTTTGTCTTACGAAACATTTAAAAAAAAAAAAAAACCTATCATTTGAAAATTTTCTCTGCATTTTCCTGTAAATGAAAACATCTGTTAAAAAGTTCATCTATGAAAAGTTTGCACATATCTAAAAAAAAATTCTTCTGTACACTTGTTCCCATAATTCTGCTGAAATTAATGGAAAATTTAAAAAGCCAATGTAAGACAAAGGAAGGCAAATACTGTTCGCTCGCTGAGAACCTCTTCCACCATCCCATTCGCGGTTTCCCAGTTCTGATCATCGAAGCCATTTCCACCTTGAACGTGCAGCAGTGAAGAAGCTGCCAGCGGTGCAACTTGTTTGACTGAAGGGCCACAGGTGCACAGACGTGGTCTTCAACACACATGACTCAGCATCAAACTGCTGGACCAATCAGATCAGCTTCTAGTACCACCACGCAACGCGCACACACGTGCTCCTTTAACTGGAGTATCTATAATCCTACATGGATGTTTTATAAACTTGCTGTCTCACATTAAAAAATAAGTGCATCAAGTATCTTTGTACATTCAAGTCACTTCCTAAGGCAAATTGTCTACCATATGTACTCCCAACTGCTTTGGTATTTGCTTCAGTTCAGTGGGGTGAGCGTGGGTCTTGCAGCATGCAGGTTAGTTGACAGAGTGGACTAAGTGGGTGGACAGATGCTGGGAGCATGCCTTAGACCTGCCTACTCGTGTGTTGAAAGAGAGTTCTGAATGGGGCTCGTACCACTCGCATGTCCAGCCTACACTCGCTACGTCAGGTCAGTGTGCAGCCTTCAGAGCCGAAGGAGCTTAATTAAGGCGTGAAAATCTCACATGCCCTCCTAAGAAGCTGCGTTCTTTTTGTCTTCCAGCCAACTTGTTTTAGCCAATTAAGACCCTTTCCGATGACTCAGACTGACAAAAATGGAAAACATTACCTCTGTAGACCAACAGAAGACCTTCTGCCTGAGAAAATGCAGACCTAGCTACTGGTGACGTCCCACCCACCCGTTACCCCGCTCTGCTCTCTCTCTGTCTCTCCGGGTGTCTCACCAGAACTCTTTACCATTACGTCTCCTTCTCTTGCGCTCCTTTTCTTTCTCATTCTTCCCTCTGTCTCTTCTTCCTCTCCCTCTTTTCTGCGTTCACTCTCTTGCTCGCTCGCTCTCTCTTTCTCTCTAAGACAAATGCCTCTACCTAGCAGAAGTCAGTTGGGTTCGCTAGTGCATGGTTTCCGAATGTTCAGCAGAGATGAACTGGGCTAGGTAATTTTGCAGTAACTTGAACCCTATCGTGGGAATACTGTTACTTCCCTTAGCAATCAGCAAAAACTGAGAAATATTAGTGACTTGCATCACCATGACACAGTATAGCATTTGGCAGGTAACTGTTCAGCGACTTAATCAGATGAATTGACGTTTTAGAAAAGGTAGTTTCAAATGGAAGAATTTCTGGAAGCAAAGTTCAAATCCTGTGGTGTGGCTGGCCTTGGCCTTCACAGTTCGATCTTGCAAGCGGGGAAGGATTCATCTTGCATAACCACTGTGCTGCTACTGGCTAAAACCATGATGTTGAGGTCTTGCTGCTTCTCGTGGGTCTCCTGGTACCATTCCCTCATTACTTCCGAGTCATGGGTTGGGATCAGTGTCACCTGCAGGGAAACAGAAAAACAGCTGTTGAAGGGCAGAGGTAGAAACCAGATGAAGGGATGAAAGGCGTTAGACCATTTGAAGAAAAGCAAATTTCTTCAAGAAATGCAAAGGATTTTTTGACTTGCATTTTCCAGGAACGAGAATAAAGCTGAAAAAATGCTATTGAAGACTGAAACTGAAAGCAACGAGTGACATGTCAAGTATATTCACCGTCAGTTTTCCAGTTCTTTAGTGTTAAGAAAAGAAGTTCAGTTAAGGTGCAATTTCTTGTATTTCCTTAACTCAACTGGTAAGCCTTACATAACAGATATTGCAACATCTAAGCCAAGTTATTATCACAGCTCAAAGCCCTCAAAAGCTCCTCACTGTTTGTAATTCACATTTTGTCCTGAGAACAAAGATTCGTATCTTTAATTCCTGTGTGTGGTTGAAGATGGAGGAGGTGGGTGGGGGCTTAACATCTTGAATAGTAAGATTCCAACAAGCAATTCTATGAACAGCATGCAAATACAGTCTACTAGGTGATTCCGTACAGAACCACTAGGAAAACTTAGAAAGCAAAGACCACAGCTAAATTCCCAAGAGCTGGTTCACGGCCAGACACGGTGCTGAGGACTTGGGAATGTCATGTTGGGGATGGACCCTCTTCTGCACCGCTCCTGTCGCTGTGGAATTCCACGGGAACAGCTGATTTTCTGGCTTCCGTCTCTTTGCAAAGCAGAAAGGACTCAAGAGAGTTTTGCAGTGGCACTCACATGGAACTCTGACCGCCCTGACTCACACACACACAACACTCTTGGTGTCTGGGACTGAAGGGCAATTCGTCTTGGCAGATCAATGAATGATGCCTTAGGCGAGGTGGCTTGCCTCCAAGGCCCTGGCTATTGGTGGTGGTGGCAAAGCAGTACCAGTGTAGGCTATCTTCTGTGTGCGAAGCTGACTGTGTCCCCGGGATACGTCATGTGTGGCAGAGTCAGGAAGCCCCCCCCGTGGATCCCCAATCATAAAGGTGTCTGTCTGAAACACGGTTCCCTCCTTCTGCTCTGGACACAGCCCAGAGGCAGGGCCGACAGAGCCCTGTTGCTCTTACCTGCATGTTGCTGCCCCACTGAGCCTTCCCTTCCAACAAGGCGTCCAGGACAGCCCGGCTGGGCTCCTCAGCAGCAGGGTCATTTCCACTCACCACGTAGTAGGAGGACCTCACTCGCTTGAAAAACTCAACATCCACGTTCTTACTATTGCTGTGGTTGGGAATATAGCACAGGTCCAGATACACGGGGAGGCCTGGAGGCACCGCAGAGGGCTTGGCTGTCTTGGTGGTTCCTGGTCCTTGGATGAATGAAGACAAGACAAAGTCACAGCAATGGGAAGAAATCCACACATCCAAGTACCACTCCCTACGCCTCTGCTCCTCCTCTGGGACAGGCAAAGCAGCGACAGCAGTTCCATCTCCCTAGCAACCGCAGGGAGATGCAAATGATGGCTGCATTTTCCACCAGCAATCAGAACACTGAACAGGGCTGTTTCCCACCGTGATAGGAGAAATGACAACCCATTCTAAAGGCGCTATTAATGTGCATCTTAATTTGACAAGTGATCTAGGGGCCGGTGTTGTGGCACAGGGGATTAAGTCACTGCCTGCAATGCCAGCATCCCATATGAGCACCAGTTCGAGTTCCGGCTGCTCCACTTCCAACGCACCTGGGAAAGTAGCAGAAGATGGCCCCTGCCACCCTCAAGAGAGACCTAGATGAAGTTCCTGGCACCTGGCTTCAGCCCTGCCCAGCCCCAGATGTTGCAGGCCATTTAGGGAGTGAACCAGCAGATGGAAGATCTTTCTCTCTAACTCTGCCTTTCACATAAATAAATAAATCCTTTAAAAAAAGAAAAGTGATCAAAGGAATGGATTTTAAAGTCAAAAGGAAGCATATACCTGTATTTGGCACATCTGAGTTAAGTGATCTCAGTCATTTACTCTAAGGTCTTATGCCCATGGCTGACTATCCTAACATTTAACCTAGTAAGTGGTTCAGCTCCTGCCCCACTTGATTTTCAAGGCCCTCAGCACCTCAACCCCACCCATAAACTAGTGAAACACAGTCTTCTCCCTGCATAGCACAGTGCCCTGAAAAGTGACACATCTCTCCCAGACAGGACTGGATGCCCACAGAGGAAACACCAGGCTCTCTCTAACCAACCAGAACACACCAGGCTGCAGAAAGGGCCTCCTGGAGCCAGAATCCCAGCCGAAATCAGAGAGGCCTGGGAGAAGGGAGACTCAGACTCCTGGCAGCAGGCTTGGTGAGCTCATTATCTATACCGCTCCAGTTAGAAGGTGTGCAGTTCTGGAGACATCAACAGAGGAGCGTTCTCTGCTGTGGTTCTCTTCCCTGACTGTATCATTAGAATCACCTGGGATCCTTAAAACTGATGCCCAGGTCTCACGCAGCACAGGGCTGGGCTGGGGCTGGGCCTGGGCATCAGCATCTTTTGAAAGCACCCCAGGTGGTGCTAACGTGACGCTATTTAAAATATACAATGGAGTCTTTAAGCTTCACCCTCTTTCTCCTTGGGCTGCCCAAAGACCATCATCTCGTGGTCAAAGCCACTGGTGTATTCCACCAACTCTCCAGTTTTATTATTAGGGAGTAGGGGAATGCTGAGATTAAGCCAAACTGGTATTTGGATACACAGACTCATCTGATGAATAGAATAGCAGGCCATTTTAATGAATCTGAGTTAAAAGCTCTCAAAACACCCGTTTGGAGGCCTCCTAAAGAATTCTGACTTGTAGTACAACTGTCAGTTATAATTCTTCTAATAAACATGCCCGCAGTTCTTCCTTGTGCACTAGTTTGCTACCATAAACACCCAATGAATATTAGGCATAGAAGCACAAACAGAAAATTGCCAAAAGCTGACTCAGGTTTGTTTTAAAAAATGAAAGGTGCAGGCCGGCACTGTGGCATAGTGAGTAGAGCTACTGCCTGCAATGCTGACACCCCATATGGGTGCCAGTTCATGTCCCAGCTGCTCCACTTCTGCTCCAGCTCCCTGCGAATGGCCTGGAAAAAGCAGAAGATGGCCCAAGTGTTTGGACCCCTACTACCCACGTGGGAGACCCAGAGGAAGCTCCTGGCTTCAGCCTGGCTCCACCCTGGTTGTTGCAACCGTTTGGAGAGTGAATCAACATACCGAAGATTAATCTCTCTCTGTAACTCTTTCAAATAAATAAATCTAAAAAATATCAAAAGTGCAACGTTGCCTTTTTAGAGATGTGAAGGTATCTTTGAAGTAAACTCATCTTCATTTATTACTTTGCCTTGAAATTATCTATTTAAAAATCAGAGTCTCCAAAAATCAACTGTGTGGACGAGGGTAAGTATGTTCTGGCAAATGTCTGTTTGTTTTTATCTGTTGGAATGGATTTTATGTTTCCCTTTGGTGCAAAGCAGCTGTCGCTTCTTTCAGACCAAAGGGTTAATTAGCCGCTGCTTCTCCATTCACTGCAAACATGAGCAAATTCATTTTGCTTTGTGTTTGTAAAAAGACTAAATTTGAAGAGAACTAAGTCCCAAAGTTGATGCTCCACATTGTTTAAAGTGCAATTTTGTAGCTATAACTAATCTATCCTAATATACACTAAATAGGAGCCTCAAAGGTTCATCTCTGATTTCTCCTAATCAAGGAAATGTTATTTAAATGATATTTTTAATTTTTTTTTTTGTTTGTTTTAGAGGTTTGGCTCAATTTATATTACTTTGTGAACTATCATCTAAAATTCCTGGGTAATCACATAAAGCAAATCAAATGCAGTATGCAAATCCCTGGTGAATGACGTTAAAGCCCTGGAGTGAAGCTGCGGCTGCTACGGAGCCGGAGAGCCGGGTCCATCACTGCTGAGAACCTGATAAAGCCGGGAAAGGGGCCGAGCCAGGAGTGACCAGAAGTCGGGGTTATGGCCTCTCTCCAGTGGGTTTCAACCCGAACGGGCACACTCAGCTTCTATTGGTGGGGCTGTGGGTTAGAAAGGCGATCACAGAACAGCCCCACACTTTCCTCTCAATATGTGCTGGGTATTCACACATCAGCCACAATGAGGGTGGCTAAGAAAACACCATTGTCTGTAACAGTGGCCTGTTTCCCATGCTGACTGTTTAACACAAAGGTTGTAATTTTTTTTTTAAAGGGGACTCTAAATCTTGGCCTAGCCTGGTCACCCTAGGCTTGGTGGAGCCTCTCATTTTCTCTGGACGTCCTGGCCTGTGTCTCCTGCAGCTCGATTTTGGGGCCAGCATGGCTGAGGCCAGTCTCCCAGAGGAGCTGGAAGCATACATCCTTGCATCTGGGAATTTAGTACAAACCCAGAAATCCCATCTGAGCAGTCCCAGCTCCCGCGGGCCCTCTGTGGAGCTCTCCCCAGGCCCGAGGGCCATGCTGGGTAGGGGAGAAGTCAAGGGACAGCAATTCCCATCTTTCCAGTGCAAAGGGAACAGGGAAAACAAGAGGTCTTCTAACATTTTGTGGGAAAAATGGAATTAAGAGATAAATTTATTTTTGGTGCCAAAAATTTTTGAAAGCCACGTATAGTTTTTCCCCTAACATGCATTTCCCATGAGCTCTCTGAAGCCCCTCATATAAAGAGCTCCGGGGAGGGGGCCTCTGTCGGGAGGCCTGGCATCTTTGGCCTACCTGCAGTTGCGGTCTTGGCTGACTTGGATGCCGAGGCGTTGGCGGCGTTCTTGGTCTCCTTGTCTTTCTCGTCCCCACGTGCAGCCTTGACCTCGGGGGTGGCGCTGGTTTTCGTGGCTTTTTCCACAGATTCTTTCTTCTTGGGGGAAGCCACTCGGGACACTTTATCTGAGGATTCTTTCAAGCTCGCTGGTTTCGGGGAAGCTGCCAAGGGCTTGGGTTTCCCATCACTCTTCTTGACAGGTGAAGAGGACTTGGTCTTTGTACCTGGCTTCTTGGTTTTGGTTTTCTCCTTGAGGTCTTTCTTCAGCGCCTTGCCCAGGTTCTGCTCGATGGCCAAGGCCTCGGGGTCGACCATGGACACATCAGGGTGGCGTGGAGAAGGGCTGCGGTCCTGCACGGGGGCTGGAGGAGGGTCCATGTGCTTGTAGGTGACAGTTTTGTCTGTGGGTATGGTTTCCGATTCATCCTCAGAGTCGATGTTGGCATCCGCTGTGATGGAAGGGCACTCTTCGGTCTCTGGGGGAACATCCGAGTCTGTCTGGGAGGGGGCCGACTCGCTGACTGAGGTGGGAGGGGTCTCGTCGCACTGTCGCCCTTGCGGCTTGCCTCCGGGAGGGGGCGGGGCTCCTCCCGACTGTGTGAGGGGCTTCTCGGAGTCGTCAGTGGGCTCTTCGCTGGCAAACCACTCAAGAGGATTGGGATTGATAAAGGAGGGTGACAGCTCCGTCTTGGGATGCTTGTACTCGCAGGAGGACACGAGGCATAAGTCAACCTCCTGGCGGGCTTCTGAGGGGGACTTCTCGGCGGCGTAGCATCGGTCTGAGGTCTCGTAGGAATACGTAGACGCCTGGGGGGTTTTGGTGATGTTCTCCGAACTCTCGTAGCAGTACGTGGAAGCGTCAGGGGTGTGCGTAGTTTTCATAGACGTCTCGTAGGAGTAACTCTCAGACTCGGGGAAACTGGAGATTTTCTCAGTGGTCTCATAAGAGTAGCTGGAGTCCCCAAGTGTGTGGCCACCATCCTCGGAGTCATCGTAGCCATTGCTGATGTCATCCAGCAGCCGTCTGGCCCGCTCCGTCTTTTCATAGCTGTAACCACTCACATCCGGGGTCCTTGTCGTCTTCTCACTTATCTCATATGAGTAGCTGCCCTCCTCGGGGGTCCGGGTGGTCTTCTCCGTGATTTCACAGGCATAGCCATCATCTTCAGGGGTCTTGGTGGTCTTCTCAATGGTCTCGTAGGAGTAGCCACTGTCACACGGGGACTTTACGGTTCGCTCTGTCTGCTCATAGTAACAGCTGCCCAAATCTGGGCTCCGGGTACTTTTCTCATAAGACTCAGAGTCGTAATCTTCTTCATCCGGGGACCTGGTCAGTTTCTCAGGCGTCTGATAGGCATAGCTGAAGTCTCCAGGTGTCTTCCCTCCACTGTCTTTCTCCAGGCTGGACGTGGTCAAATCTCTATTCAAGGCTAGATGGTGTTGCATGGTATCGAATAACATTGAGGCACGGAAGCCATAGGGCTCGGCAACAGCTGCATCTATTGGTGGAGAAGAGGAAGTGTGGCGGGCTTCCGTGCTCTCTTTGACTGCAGAGGTAGAATCTGAAAAACTAGGAGAATATAAAGGAGAGGACTCCCGCGGAGTGAGTGGGGAGATATCGGATTTGGGAGAGAGCTTCTCTCCTCCTAGACTTTGCACTTTCTCAGAGGTGAGCGAGGCATACAAGGATATATCTCGGGGAGGAGCCACATCGGACAGAGTATCTTCTTGAAGCGGAGAAGCTATCTGAGAAGGGGTATGAGCAGAAGAGGTGGATGGGGAGGCCTCTACCTGAGATACTGAGATGAGTTCAGAGAGATCATTATCTTGGGTATAGGACGGCTCCTCCGTGGGCGGTATCTTATGTGACAAACTAGAGTCCTGCATGTCGGATGGACTATAGTCCACTTCGGTTGGCCCGTTTTCAGTGATGTGAAGCGCACCTGCTCCCATTGTAGGTTGGTCTGGAGACTGCCGGCTGAAGTCCATGGCAAGAGAGTGCTCAGGAGATTCTTGGCCAAATTCAATAGACATTGAGGACTGTTCCGATCGGTGCTCTTGAACCGGGGTCCTGGACTTGGCCGTCTTCGGGGAGAAGTCCGGTGGAGAAATTGACATCGGTCTTGGGCATTCTTCTTTAGATGGAGACATTTCCGTTTCCTGGAACGTGGTAGGCGTTTGTACCACAGACACTGAAAGGGAGTCGTCGACTTCAGTGGAATGTGGGGAGCCCACCTCGGCGTGCAGAGAAGGAGACACATCGTCAGTGGTCGGCTCGGGGAAGGAGCTCGTAGCCACGGAGGCCGTGGAGACGGAGGCCACCCCCTCCATGTGCGAGTAGGTGTCTTCTGCTACTCCCTCATCCACAGGAGTGGCGGACTTGTCTGAGACAGTGCCCTCAGAAATGGACATCTTGGTGTCTTCTTTAAAAGATCCAAGCTGACTGACATCTATCTGTGTCGGAGAAACATCTCCTGGCTTCCTGTCATCCAAGGCCAGCGCTGGCTGAGAACTCGCCGATTCAACATCATCAGTCTTTTCTGGACCAACATCTTCCTTGATCGGCACAAAGTCCGTGCCTTTCCCTTCCTCCTTGTCTTGGTAGAGACCGGCGGAGGTCACGTCAGAGACCGGAGACACCTGGTCCAGAAGCTCTGGCTTGCCATCTTTCCCTTCGAATGGGCTCTCGGTCCCCCGGCCGGGAGCCTGGTCGTCTACACTCAAGAAACTGTCGTAAGGCGACTCGGAGCCCAACAAGGGAGGGCTGCGCAGGGGTGACAGCACCTTCTCAAGGGGAGATTCCGAGTCGGGCACGGGCTCATCCATCGGGCTCACCGAGGCCCTCTCTCTCTCGTCTTTGGCATCGCTGAACTCAAACCTCACCGGGACGGCCGGGGGCTTCTCCACGACCTCTGTGGGGAGGTGACTTGATTTCTCTTCGGTGGGAGACTGGTAGTAGGGCGTGTGGCCAGCACTGCCGGTCACAGACTGCGACGGGGACACCACTTCCAGGGTCTTCTCCTCGGGGCTAGCACAGCGCTCTTCGACTACTTCCTTGGTCACCTCGGGAGACACCGGGGCTGCTTCTGCCTCTGCGGAGGCTTTGATCTCATTGGGCGTCAGAGAGAAGTTCACGCTGCGTTCCCCGAGCGGGGTCTTCTCTATCGGAGACGGCGGAGACGGACTCCTGGCTGGGCTCTTGGGGGGACTGAGTTTTTCATCGGAAACTGCCGAGAAGGTATCTTTGATGTCCAGCGCGGCTCTGGCTTGCCCCTCTTTCTCTTCCGAGTAGTAAGCGTCACGTAGGGCAGATCTGCTGAATTTGTCTTCCTCCATGGACGACGGCGGGGATATGGTGGAGGCTGAAGCATTGTAGTCCTTGCCTTCGGTGGCGTCGGTTTTTGACCCATCCGACAGCCCGTTGAGTGACGTCACCGCGGGTTTGACGTATTCCTGGGAATACAGGGAAGACTCGTATTTGGTGATGTTCACGAATTCCTGCGACGGGGACTCGGTCTCCTCGTTATTGGTCTCGTCACTCATCACGTCGCGAGGCGTCGACATCTCATCCATGGGGGTGGGCTCGCTGGAGATCTCAATGGTGGACTGCGTGTAGCCGGAGGTGGCCGTGAACTCCTCAGGCTGGTCCTCTCGGTTGTCCTCGTCGGAAGCGGTGGCCTCGCTCTCCGAACCTCCAGGCAGAGTCTCGTCGTGAATGGAAGATGCCGGCTCTCGGCTGGGGGACTGGGCTCCGGGCGGCTTGAGGGACGCCGTGAGGAACCCGTACTGATCCTCGGCACCTCCAGCCTCCGCGGCCTTGTCCACCACGGCCATCACGTAATCTTCCGCTTCAGCCTTCTCGGGCTCGTACTCCTCCTCTCGGGCGTCCTCCGCCTTGTCCTCCTCCTCCTCCTCGCCTTCCTCCTCCTCGGACTGCTCGGCTTCTCCCTTCTCAATCGCCTCGTCCATGTCTTCCTCGGCCCGGTCGTCCCCGCTGGCCACAGACTCCCTCTTCTCCCTGATGTGCACATCCGCCTCGGCCTTGGCCACCTCCTCGTCCTCAGCCAGGCCGGGCTTGGGGGCGCTCACAGCCGCGCTCTCCTCGGCGTCCTCTTCCGGCTCCTCCGCCTCCTCGGTTTCTGCCTTCTCTTCGTAGTCGCCGGCCTCGGAGGACTCCTCAAAGCCCGCTCCTTCGTCCTCGAACCTCTCAGTGTCCTCCACGCCTGGCTTCTCGGCCGGCTCCAGCTCCTCGGGGGTCTGCTCGCACTCGCCCTCCCCTTCGGTGGTCGTGATGCCCTCGTCGGGGGACTCGGCGGGGCCTTGGATGACCTCCGTGTGCTTCTGAAGGGCGTAGGCCTCCCCGGCCTCGCTCTCCTTCCGCTTCGCGTCCTCGTCGATCAGCTCCAGCTGAGGCTTCAGGGCCTTCGCCACATCCACCTCTTCAGCCTTCAGCTCCTCGAAGTCCTTGGTGAGATCCTCGGGGGACGACATGAGGGACCGCTCGGCCTCGAGCTCCCTCAGGGGGCCGGCGGCGGCCACGGCGGCCACGGCGGCGCCCACAGCGGCGGCGCCCACGGCCACGGCGGCCTCGGCCGTCTTGCCCTCCTTCTTGATAACTTTGACTTTGGCCTTCTCCTTGGGCTTCCCGGCAGCCGCCGCGTCTTTCTTGACCGGTTCCTCCTTCTTGGGGACTTTGGGCTTCAACGCAGCAGGTTTTTTCGCTTCCGAGAGAGGAGTGGCTGGTTTCTTCGTGTCTTTGGGGAGCTTCTTAATTTCCTTTTTAGGTTCTTTGTCTTCCTTTTTCACCTCCTTCTTCTCTTCCTTCTTCACCTCCTTCTTGGCTTCCTTCAGGGGCGTTTCTTTCTTCACCTCCTTCTTGGGCTCCTTCTTCTCCTCCTTCTTGATTTCCTTCTTGACTTCCTTCTTCACCTCCTCCTTTTTCGGTTTCTCCTCCTTTTTGACGGGCGTCTTGTCCTCCTTCTTCGCCACTTCCTTCTTCGGCTTTTCCTTCTCGTCTTTCTTCTCGTCGGGTTTCGCCTTTACCTCCTTTTTCACGGTCTTCTCCTTGGAGACCTTGGGCTTGACGTCGGCGGCTTGCTTGTCCGCCACCTCGGCTTTGACGGGAGGCTGCTCCTCTTTGCTGGGCGCCTCCTTGTCCACGGCCGCTGGTTTGGGCTCCGTTTTGACCGGCTTGTCTTTTTTCACGGTCACCTTTTCTTTGCTTTCCACTTTGGGCGGCTTTTCTACCTGGTTCGCTTTGGGGACCTCCGGGGCTTCCTCTTTCGACTCCTTTCGCACGGTTTTGCTGGGAGCTGGTTTTGCAGCTGGCTTCAGATTTTCTCTGCTGTCAGCCCTCTGTTTGAGTTTCACTTGTTTCACGGCGGGAGCCGGCACCTGGCCAGTCAGATCCTTCTGGGTGGCCAGCGGCTGCTTCAGGAAGTCCAAATGTTTGAGTTTTTCCAGCCCTTCCAGGATGTTGTATTGGGTGCTGTTTCCAGGAAAGAGGACGCGGATGATTTTCTCGGCCGGGTTTGCTGGATGCCACACGATCAGCGAGGAGACTGAAGTTAAGTAGGGGATCGGGATATCTACTTCCTGACCATTGGGCAGGATCAGTTCCGCCTTGTCTCTGTTGGTGCCAGTCCACTGCTGCATGAAATACTGCATTTCCTTGCTGCTCTTGACTGGGTTAAGCACATACATCTCTAGTTTCCCCACCCCCATCTTTTGGAAAAGAATGACAGGATCGATGGTATTGCCTACACTTCTAAAGAGAGGTTCTGGCTTCATGGACAACTTGTTCAGGTACTGGAGGGTGAAGCACGCTTCCTCCAGGCTCCTCTTCATCTTCATGTTGGGCTCGGGAGTCTTCAGGTTTTCAGGGACGTTGAGAAAGACGACGCCCAAGTCAGGGGAGATGAGGTTTTTCATCCAGTCGCTGTTGGTGGTGGAGCCCTGCGACTGCTCCTCTTCCAGCTCGGCGATTTTCCGCTGCAGCATGCTGTTTATGCCGGGCAAGTTGTCATCCCCGATGTGGGTGAGCAGGATGGAGTCCACGCGGTCCAGGTGGCGGATGAGTTTCCAGAAGCAGGACTTCCTCTCCGAGCCGCCGTTGATGAGCATGTTGAATCCGTTCACCGCGAACAGGGCGGAGTCGCCCCTGCCTCCGGGGAAGATGTAACAGCAGGGCTTGGAGAGCTTCAGAAAGCCCCCGGATGTGGGAGGTTCCAGGATGTCAAAAGGGGACAGGACTTCCACTGACTCCGAGAGGTACTCGGTGAACTCAGAGAGTCCTTCCATTTCTGGCAATATAGACGCTGAGTTGAGTTTAATGTTGATGAAGTCTTGCAGATTGTGTCTGTCCAGGTTGGAGTTCTTCCAATCCCCTTCTTCGGGGCAGAACAGGGTTAAGCTGGCTTTGTTGGCAGGATGGGTAGTGCTCAGTAACTCTCCAATCTGGAATTGAACAAAAAGAAGAAGGGGGGGGGGGGTTTGGGTGACTGACTGTCATCACTGTTCCATCATCTCTGCCTCCAGTGGGTGACACAGGATGCCTGGCTGCACAGAGCTGTAGCCGTGTAGTGATGCTTGTTGTATACATCCTAAAACACCTGCATGCAAGAAGGTGCACAGCCCCCGGCCCGAGCATCCCCTGCACCCCAGAACCTGGCTCCAGTTCTGAGGCCACCAGCTGCATGGACTATCAGTGCATGTACCACTTTGCATGCTCCCTGATGCACTTGTCATGCACAGGTGCTCTTTAAAAAATACTGAACCATCACGGGAGAAAGCTACATGAGTCATTTCCTCACTGATACTGCAAGGTCATTTCTTTTAATCCCCTCGGCTTGGCAAGTGGTAGACGAGTGATGGACACGTTAAAGAAGTGCCGGTAATAGTGCACTTCTTGTCTCCTTTTAGAATTTGACAGGTACAAAAAGAAAAATGTCTGGTGAGGTCTCCCCCCGTGGGACACAGGAAGGTATTGATTGCCCAGGACTACAGAAAATGATTGGTTTCTGGCACCAGTGCCCAATATTTAAAACATGAGTGGTTCACCCAGCAGATTCTCCGTGAATACAAATGCTTTTACCGAAGCCCTGATGATTAAACTGATTGAGTAAATTGTACAAGCCAATGACCAGATACGATCCCCATTTGCTCCGTCTCTGTTGCTTTGCCTATCAAATAAAAATAAATGAACACTTGACAATAAATAAACATGAGCAAATGCTTATTAGTATTCCAGTATGGGAAGTGGGTATCCCAAATGCCTGCCCTTGTTTGTGCTTAAATCCAACGAGAGACACTCTGCTGGCTTTCTGCTCTCATTCTTTCCTTTTTGAAAACTTAAAAAAAATTTGAAAGGCAAACAGACAGAGATCTCCCATCTGCTGGTTCATTCCCAAATGGCCACACAGCCAAAGATGGGCCAGATCAAAGCCAGGAGCTGAGAATTTAGTCCTGGTCTCCCATGTGGGTGGCAGAGATCCAACTATTTGAGCCATTGCTGCTGCCTCCCAGTGTGCACATTGGAGGAAGCTGGAATCTGGAGCGGAGCCAGGACCCAAACCCAGGGACTCTGAGATGGGATGCAGGTGTCCCAGGTGGCGCCTTCCCTGCGCCCTCCCATTCTTTTCCAACAGAGCAGGGTTTGAGTGGCTAAGCTCACATTTGGTTCCGATGCTTTTTAATGCATTGTTTAGTACTTCCCGAGGATGGGAATGTGGAAAAGCAAATGGGGACCAAAACGGTGATTATGGTTTAACGAAAGCACTCTTTTCTTTCTCGCTCCATGTTAAGGCCAGATGGTCTTAGTTTAGCAAATTGTGAGGGAAAGTCATGCTGTAAATTCAGGCCTTCTTTCTGTTTCAGCAGAGTTCATAATGCAGCCCAGGAGGTCACCCAAGAAGTGCCCTGCGTGCTGGACGGGCAGTGAGGAAGGGGCAAGGCAAAAGGTTTTCCTTGGTGCAGCCATCGCTACCTGACAGCTCGGGACTCTCACCTGCTAGGATCAGAGGGATCACCTCTGTGTCACTATTAGAATATTAACATTCAGAGGCCGTGTGTGTGTGCATGCGTGTGTGAGAGAGATAAGGATAATTCACACAATCTGAATTTTCCTCTACTAGGCTGCACTCAATCTTGTCATAAGCCTATTAATTCTAGCATCGTGTTTTAAGTGAAGAGTCACAAAACGGCACAATAACGAAACATTGCTGCTTTCCTCTGACTTCACTTCGAATGCTCCCACATAAAAGGGATGGGACCAAAGCCCTGTTCTGGAAGCTAAGAAAACCGAGAAAGCAAATGGTAACCACCACTGGGGAGGATCTTTGCTCAAATTATTTGTTGGCCGAAGAAAACATGAGCACCAAATGCGCTTTCATGTCTGATATTTGGCAGAGACCCTCATCATCACTGCTGCCACACGACTGGCCTTCTGCCAGTCCTGATCGTCACACAGAACACCAGCAGATTCTTCATGGTTTCCAATACATGCTTAGGGTAAATCCAAGAAAACTCAAACTGCTGAGTCTTTCATGGATAAGTTTTATTTATTTCATTTATTTTTCAGAGGCGAAGAAAAAGAGAGCTCCCATGCACCAGTTCACAACCCAGATGTCCACAGCAGCCAGGGCTGGGCCAAAGCCTGGAGCTGAGAACTCAATACAGGTCTCCCACATGGGTGGCAGGGACCAAGCACTTGAGCCATTACTGCTGCCTCCCAGGAGGGCACAGTAGCAGGAAGCTGGAGTCCGGAGGGGAGCAGGGGTTGGAACCCAGGCACTTTGATGTGGGATGTGGGCGTTCTAAGTGACATCTTAACCACTGCCTGCCCCTTAGAGTGGATTTTTTAAAAATTACATTTAGTTCATTCTAACTTTTGAAATTCTACCCTAGCTGAGAGGTATTGGGATAGGGTGGGGGTGAGGGAGTGTCAAGGATAGAATCCGGCTGAGTAGGGGTGTTCAATCCCTAGTTCTTTTTTTAAGAAAGATTATTTATTAAGAAAGATGAGAGTGGGAAAGAGAGGGAGAGAAAGGCAGCTCTTCTACCCACCGCTTTAGTCATTACAGCCCATTAATGTAATGGCTGCCCATTACAGCCAGGGCTGGACCAAGCCAGAGGCCCAGAATTCCATCCTGGTATCTCATGTGTGGCAGGATCCAAGCACTTTAGCCATCACCTGCTGCCTCCCAGGGTTAACATTAGCAGGAAACTGTACCGGAAGTGGAGGCAGGACTCCATCCCAGGCACTCCGATGCAGATGCAGCCATCAGAAGTGGCGGCTTCATCCACTGCATCAAACACCTGCCCCCGTCACTAGCTTTTTTCTGTGAGGTGTGAAGTCACAAGGTTCAAAGAGCAGGCAACGGGACACAGGAGCATCTCCCTGCGGTCCATTATTTTACCTCTACCCAAAGAGTTTCTACAAAATGCAGGGCATGATCCAAAGCAAAAACACAGAAAAGCCATGAAAGCAACAGCAGAGAGAGGTCAGGGAACAGAAAACTATAATGTCCAAGGCAAAGCAGAAAAGGAAGTCTGCACTGCTGGACTAGTGTCTAGCGAGAGGGAAAAGCCCTCCCCCTGGAGAAGAGTGACACGCAGCGTGCGAGCAGGGACTGGAGTGCAGGGGAGGAGGGGAACAAAGGCCGCCTTGGAGTTGCTCAAGACCCCTGATTCCAGAGTTGGGGATCAAGGAGCACCCAGGGTGACTGCCTCAGGGGCAGGGACCACATCTCAAGAGCGCCCAGCCCAGGGCAGCACACAGTCAGGGCTGACGCAATGCAGGGATGACGACAATGAGGAGGGTATAACAAGGTTAGTGGTGGCAAGGAAGCCTGCGGTGCATTCTTCAGACTTGGAAACAGGCTGCTTCTCAAGGAACTGGGAGAGATCCATCATAGAGCAAACATACTCGGTGTTTCTGAATAGCAGGAAACATCTGTACCTTTGTACCTTGGTTATCTTTGTTTCCCTAATACTTCAAAGTCTTTAAAAAAAATGGAATTAAAAGATAGGTTTATTTTGCTGTGAAATAATTTTGATATGTATGCACGGCTTTTTTGAAATCTGCATCTTCCGTGACCTTTTGGAGGACCCCCTCTTTCATAATCAAACTGGTTGGACTGCACTGAACGTGGCCAATCCAGCACTAGCACGCTCTTCCTGGAGAGGGTACTTGGGATGTGACAGGAGCCTGCTGGGACTCGTCAAACACACTCAGTGCTACCCTGCTTCTCACAAAGATGGCTGACACACATGACTGGGAGAAATATGGCTTCGGGCAAAGATAATCTTTTCTGTTAATTACTTTTCCTGATTAAGTGCAGGCATACTGGAAGAGGAAGGAAGATAGAGGAAATAAATGGCTTTATTGCAGATGATGTTAATGAAACAAGATTTGAACATCTAAAGTACGGCCCACTAACCACATTTCCTTCTTTGATTAGGTTACTTGCCCAGCTGATGAGGAAATCCAGGAGACAGGGTATCTCTGGGCCTTAGCGAGCGTAAAACAGAACCTCTGAGCCATGTGAGCACAGAATTGGATGGATTTTTAGGCAGCCATATAAGTAGCGCTGCTTAATGTCAACCTGGAGAGAGGTCTCCTCTGGGCTGTCTCCAGGCCCGTTTCTGTCCTGTGGGGCATTCACTTGGATGAAAATGGTGAAAACATGAAAGTGAGAGGCATGGAAAACATGGGATGGCAGAATTACTGTATTTATAAAAAGGTCTTGACACTGAAAGATAACGGCTAGGTCAAGTCTAACAGGATGGCATTCTAAAGGGATAAATGTAAGGTTCAATAAACCAGCAGGGTAAAGTGCAGGATTGGGACATGTGGCTAACAACTATATCCTTGGGATGGAAAAGACTCGGGGATTTTAGCTGACAGTGAAATGGATTTATCATGATGCTAAAGAAGCTTACACTTCAAGGCTTCTCACTGGCATGGTGCCCTACCAAAGCTGCGTCCTAACTGTGTGTTAATAATGGTATTTTCTTCTTAAAAGGAGCTCTGAAATGCTATAAAATGCAGAGTTCCTCAAAGCCTGCATTTCTGTTGACATTTACTTGTGCATCGTGATGATCAAAAATTACTTTGACTTATTTAACAGAGGACGGTATTGAAGACGGCAGACATCACTGATTCTCGCATTCCTAACTTGATGAAATGACTCCTGGAATATGGTGTTCAGGTTGAGACACGGCATTTTGGAGAAACTAGCCCCAAAACAAATGGAAACTCGTCTCCTTGTCCTCAATCTCTAAATACTAGACAAGGGCCCCTTTCTCTTCTGAATTCATTTCTCCTAGACCATGCCATCATCTGCTAGGTTTAAAATATCTCTAATATGATAATGGATTCCAAAGTAATATCCCCAACTCCAAGTTCCTTGAGCTCTGGACTCAGATTTCCACTGTCTGCAAACTCCGAAGCGCTAATGCGTGACCAGGATCTGAGCTCTTGCATTTCCCACAAACCCATCCCATCTCCCCTTCTGGATGAATGATGACCAGGGGAGGGGAGGGAAGAGAAGGAACTTTTAATCATTGTGAATAGCTGTGAGTAAAGATAAAGATGATGAACGCGGAGGGGGAAACTGGCAGTGCTGGGGAAAGGTATCCAAGACACTGGGTGCGGGGTGAGGAGAGGGATCACATTCTCTCCTTGAAGACACAATGAGACAAATAAGGAGAGAGTTTCCAACAGAGAGGCTGGAAAATGCCCCAGGAGAGGATGATTTCACCATCCCTGGACTTCAAGGAGCAGTGGGTGAGCCAGAGGACTGCTCCGCCTTGCTAAGTTCTGGTTTTGTCATTGACCTCCAGTGATTAATTCTCCAAAACCCTGAAGTTCAAAGCAGACTGACAGTTCTGCTTTTCCAGTCTATCGTTCTTAGCTATTCTTGTTAAACAAACAAATGAGCATTTTTGTTTTTACAAAATTGTGTTTCTGGTTTCTCTGCAGTTGCCTTGTATGTTTAAAGGACCTGATCAAAGGGACAGAGCTGAATACCAAATGACTTATAGTTTCTCTGTTACTGAGCCATTCTGTCCTGAACTTGTTTTTACAAGCCAGCAGGCACTCAGAGATCCAAAGACTGATAACCCCATTGGTCTGGCCCAGCAATTTGCAGTCCACTTCGGCTGTGGTTTCCTTCCTTCCTCACCCGTGACGTCAAAGAGAGAAAAGCCGAGTTGCTGTGGTTGGGCAGGAGGAAGAGAGTGAATGCTGTCGGATGTCTTCCTCCACTCCTCCCCTTCTCCACTGGTCGGTTCTGTTAGGGAAAACCTCTACCATATGTGTTGAGCAAGACTTCCTCCCAGGTATGAGGGTAGGAGATCACAGGAGCAAACAGAGGCGACTGGGACACAGTAAAGACCTGCCTAAGTCGAATGGAGATATGTGCCCGTCAGAAGCCTCTCCGGGGATTACAGACCCTGGGGAATCTGCCCTTGCACACGGCTCAGACTGCACAGGTGAGGCTCACACGCCACAGGTAATTTCCTTCCGTAATTACTGGCAAAATCTGACACGTGCATAGTCCACTGTGCTGTGGCTCTGCTTCTGTGGTCTTGGCAAAATGATTTAAGCAGCGATATTCATAACACCCTTCCTTATCTAGATGGATGAGTTGTGATCATAACTCCTGATTTAAAATCCTGGCAGTGACAAACATTACACATTTCCTTTGCTTGGTTTTACAAAAAAAAAAAAAAAGCCAATGATGTGGGAAGCATCCAACCACTTGAAACTGTAGAACCTCACAGGGATGCACAAACGTGCCCATGTGTGTATACACAAAGCCAAGAGTTCAGGGCTGACCGGAGCCTCCAGGCAGACTACTTCACTGCTCACCAGGTCACAGGCCTCCGCAGCTCCCCTCCGCCCAAGGCAAGATGCTGAGAGCGTGTGTGACCTCTGAGCTACCAAACGCCCATCTGCCACCAGGTGCGACAGGCACACGGGACTCAGAGAATTCCGACACTGGAGCGATCACACACCACTGTCAGGGCAGTAGACAGAACTGTAGCTCCAGCTTGGGAATGTCAATCCCATCGAGCAGGGGCTCACTCAGCCTTTACCATGTGCCAGTGCAATGGATGCCAAGAGGAAGGCGATGGGGTGGGGATGGGGGAGGGGGGAGGAGCCTGAACTGCAGCAGCCTTGAAGGAAGACAGGCACACGTGACAGAGGAAGCCAGGCCCAGATGTGCGTGAGCCCTGAAGCCTCTATGGCGGGGGTGGGGGTGGGGGTGGGGGGCATCCCTGGGGATCCCCTTCTCACTTTGGGGAGCCAGTCCTGGGGGCTTCGAGATACAGACCCCCCCCCCCCCCCTTCTGAGAGCTGAGTTTCAAATTCGCAGTAAAATGATCCCTTGCACAGTTCCGTGCTGGCCCCTGATCCCCTGTGGAGAGGGAGGAGCATGATGTCACTGGACCGGTGCTTTCCCAGGAGCTGCCTGGGGCAAGCCAGGGAAGGCAGACAGTTTGTTCACAGCTCTTGCTGGGGAGGAGCACAGAGACCTCTTGCTGAAGTGCCAAGGCTAAGGAGGAAGAATTGCATAAAGACGCATGGCCCTTCGCACCTGGGAGACGCCGCCACGCCAAGAAGACAGCTTTCAATGGCCATGAGCACAGCCTTCAGCTGCTCCCTTTAGAACCTGCTATCGGGCCTGTGCTGTGGCGCAGTGGGCTAAGCCACTGCCTGCCATGCCGGCATCCCACATGCGGGCCGGTTTTAGTTGACTTATCCACTTCCAATCCAGCTCCCTGCTGATGCGCCTGGGAAAGCAGTGGGTGATGGCCCAAGTATTTGGGTCTCTGCCATTTATGTGGAAGACCTGGACAGAGTTCGTGACTCTGGTTTTGGCCTGGTCCAGCCCTGAGCTTTGTGGCCACTTGGGGAGTGAACCAGCAGATAGAAGGTCTTTCTCTCTCTCCCTCTCTCTGTAACATTGCCTTTCAAATAAATAAATCTTTGGGGGGTTGGGGGAGGAAGAGGGGCTGGCATTGTGGTGCAGCAGGTTAACGTGTTGCCTACAACACCAGCATCCCATTTGGGTGGCTGCTCGAGTCCTGGCTGCTCCACTTTTGATACAGCTCCCTGTTAATGTGCCTGGGATGGCAGTGGAAGACAGACAAGTGCTTGGTCCCCTACCACCCACATGGGAGACCTGGGTGGAGTTCCAGGCTCCAACCTGACCCAGCGCCAACTATTGCTGAACCAGCACATAGAAAACTGAAAGATCTGTCTCTCTGTAACTTTGCTTTTCAAATAAATAAATAAATCTAAGAGAGAAAGAGAGAGAGAGAGAGAGAGGGAGGAAGGGAGGGAGGGAGGGAGGTGGGTGAAAAGGTGCATTATTTTGAAAGGCTTCCTAGCCAGGATGCTCCAGCAGAAATAAACAAATTAAAATCTTGGATCTGATTTTTACCAATACCACTAACTTCATACACTCTTATGTAATTCACATGTACCATCCTCGACTGAGACATAGCCATTAGAAACACTAAAGATCCAACTCTGGTCCTGCTACTCTAAGCACCTTTTTCTTGGGTCACAGACTTTGTGCCCCATTTTCCTATATGTCTCCTTATCCAGAACCCTCTCCCTTTCTGGGATATTCTTACAGCCCAAGTTCCAACACTGTGACCAAGCATTAAAAGCACAAGAAATGAGAAAGAATCAGACTCCCCCTGCCCCAAAGTTGGTACAAGTTCTGAAAGAGCCCTAAGCAGTTAAATCCTACCGAAAGCCCTAGAGGGTTTCTGGAGGATTCTTTCGGAAAACAGGAAACCAGAGTTTTCTTTTGGGCTCTGTAATTTTGAGTTTTCTCTATTATTTTTGACATCTGTAAATGTTGACTGTTCCACTCCCCAATTCCCAGCCCATCTATGGCTCCAGCACATGGAGATTGGCTCCAATTCATCACAGACCAGTGCTCTAAACGATGCTGGCGAGGAGCCCCAGGACTAAAAGTATTTTGGATCACACAGATTGTGCTGATTTCAAAGGAGCTGTGACATTCCTCCCCCTTCTTCTGTCTCCCCTAGTGCTTTCAGAGAGCAGCCTCAAAGCCACAACAATACCCACGCCACTGGAAGCCTAGCTGCTCCCCCGACAGGAACCCACCTCTTGATCCGTGAAAATCTCTATGAAGTTCTGGAAGGAGAAAGAGCCGGATTGGAGAATGAGCTCTCCGGTATTTTCAAAGCACTGCCCGGTCAGCACGAGCAGCTTGTGCCGGGCAGCGTCTGTGATCATTAAGCGCACCTGAAACAAAGCACAGAGCGTGGGACGTGAGCGTGGGCAGCACCGCCGTCCTACCTTCTGGCACTCAAGGTTTATTACCAACAAAAGGCGCTCATTCCCGCAGAGCCCTGGTCCGGGTGGGGGTGGGGGTGGGGGTGGGGGGATGGAGGGACTGCACGGAACCCTGGCTGGAGGAATCACCCACAATGAGTGTGCTCATCCATCTGCCCGTGAACGCCACGGTCAAAGTTTCGCTGCAGCCAAGACATCAGTGGTGGTGGACTCTCTCCCCTAGCTCACTCTTCTCTTTCAAAGCGGTCCTCACAGCTGGCAAGCATTTGCTCCACAGCTGTTGGGACGTCTCTGCTAGCAGCATGCGGTCTGTGGGCTGGGGTTGGGGGGGGAGGGAAGGCGGGCGAAGGGACTTGGGAATAGCTCCCAGACTGAGTCACCACGTACAGTCCTGCTCCCCCAGGGGCCCCAGCTAGGATCCCGAGTCAGCCTCTCTCACAGGATCCCGTGCCCTGCAGGCCACACGGCCAGCACACAGCTCCAAAGGCAGCGGGATCAGCAAGGTGCTTGACAGGGGCACAGAAGGGAAAGGCTGCCCCTGAATAGCAATCTTGGAAATTGAATTGCAAATGGTTTGCACCAAAGAACTCTCTGTGAACTCTCAGTGGCAGGAAGCCAGCTGTCCTACAGCAGAAACACTCATTTCAGGACCGGGGGTATTTGTTCCCAGCCTGATTCATAAATGTCCACGGCATGCTATATGCCGGGCATCACACTAGGCGCCAGGGGAGGGTACAAAAGTAAACAGGCCTTGACCCCTGGCCCAAGGGCTCCCAGGCTAATCCTGGAAAAAACGCATGTCTGTAAGTCATGTCTCAACCCCATCTGCTCCGCCGGCCATCTGGATCCTTAGTTTTCCTTTTCCGTTTCTCACAGCTCTTCCCAGCAGTGTGCCTGGACAGATACGAACCCTGCAGCTTTTTTCAAGTTATAATTGCTTCCCGAATGGGTTATGCGCAGAGGTTGCTATCCCTTCACTTCCCTCAACCTCCTGCCTCCAGTGGCTCATCAAGGGAGCGCTGCTGATCTGAAGCAGGCAAGTGTGTGTCACACGGCTCCACTGGCATGGCCAGAAAAGTAGCAGCAACCCATGGGCTCACTGACAGGGGACTGGATACACAAGTGTGGCACATCCACACGAGGGAATATTATTTGGGCAGAAAAAGGAATGCAGTGCTGATCTGTGCTACCACATGAATCAACCCTGACAATATCATGTTGGATCAAATGAGCCAGGTACAGACAGCCACATGTTGTATGATTCCACTTATATGAAATGTCTAGAACGGGCAAATCCATAGACAGGAAGTGAATTAGTGGCGACCAGCAGCAAGAAGGAGTGGGAGGGACTGCTAATGAGGCTTGGGCAGGTGGGGAGCATGACGGATATGTGCTGGAATTAGATAGTGGTGGTGGTTTTACGACATTCTTGATATTCTATAAGGCAACTTAAGATAGTGCATTTTCTGGTATCACTTTAATTATAGCACAATTCAAAAAATATAGCACGTCGGCAGAGGTTCTCAATGCATGGGCAGAAGATGCTGCAGACAATGGAGACACAAAGGAGCCTTGGCTACTTTCATGTTGCAGAAGCAGCTCAAGCTCAGAGGCACCACATTTTCAGAAAGGGGGTGGGAAATGGAGCTGGACCACCTCCTCTGGCTGGGGTGACCTGGGACTGTTGGCTTCAGCCACGTTCGTTCTTACCTAGGGTGGGCTCTGGGCTATCCAATTACACCCTCCAGCAACAGTTCCATATGGTAGTAATAATAATAATAACAATAGCTAACATATACCTTGCAGTCCTTATGCACAACACTGCTCTAAGCACTTGGCACTTCTAAGCACCATGTCAAGTGCAAACATTGAACTGGAACGCAAGGGCTGTTCTGATCTCCAGCTCAGAGAGGTGCAATCCAAGACCAAGACAGTAAGTAAATCACTTGGAGCTACCAGACAGTAAGTGGCAGGCCTGGGATCATGAACCCAGGCAGTCCGTGCTTGCCCGCCTTCCAATCATAGTAAGGGGTGCAGGAGGTCTCTGCACGGCGTTTGCCTCTGAGATGCCATCTGTCTCCAACTCTGGTTCCTGCGTGTCTTGGCCTGAGGACTTGCAGTCCCTGCTCCATCCCACCCAGCACACACTCCCATTTAGACCCTAAATCCACCCCCCCACCCCCGCTTCAACCGAATGTCACAGTTCCAGCTGGCATCTTCCACTCTGTCCTCATTGGGAGGTGCCTTCTAGGGTGGCGCCGAAGCAGAGAACTGACCACTGCCTAGGGGTTAAGGAGGGCAGATCCCTGGAGCTAGGACTTCTCCTCCTGTGCCCCTCTCCTGCCCCTGTTGGCCCAGCCCATCTCACCAGGTGGGTCTCCGTCCCGCGCCAGGACCCCGAAGCGTCCAGTGCCTACCTCAGTGCTCACTGCTTCGTCTGAAGGGTTGATCAGGACCACGGTCTCTAGAACGTCACTTCGGTGATGGAGGATCTTTTGTCCTGCAGGCACAAACACACACACAAAAGGACAGCCCTTTAGCTTTGCGGGATGAAAGCCACAGAAGAATTCCTGCCTGCGCCGCGGGAGGCCGCCGATGCTGCACAGGGCCCTGGGATTCGCCGCAGAGTCTCAGGAAACAATCGGGGCAGCTAAGGCAGAGGGCGCGGGTGCAGCAGGATCCCCCCCAGGGCTGGGTCTGTGTGGTCCAGGGCCCCTCTCACTCTCACACCCTCCAGTTTTCATAGTCAGATCGCCAGGCAGCCTGGGTGCCTTAACGGCGATTTTCATCTGAGAAAAGGGGCCCTTGACATTTCCTTTTTCATGGTAATTGGGGATGTTTCTCCATATCAGCCTTTCTTCTGGTGAGAACTGCGCCAAGATTAATTAGAAGCCTCTTTGTGAAATGAATGACATCCAGAAACCCCAGCTAACAATTAGCCCAACAGCCAGAAAGGCTCGCAGTCTGCAGGGGGATTCATTAAGTAATGCACTTGCTCAGAGCAAACTGGAGAAACCATGTGCAAAGGAGAAGTGGAGAGTAGCCCTCCCGCCGGACAGGGGCAGCCCGATGGCCCTCTGCGGGCAAGCAGAGCAGACGGAGAACAGCAAAGCAGGGTGGGGGGCGAGGGAGCCTGCAGGGCTCTTCCCTCCACATCCCTGGCTTTGCACAACTTATAGGTTCTAGGGCCACACAGGGGCTCCACCCATCCCCCAGCCAAAGTGGACTGCGGTGTTCAGAGCCCCCCTCCCCAGACAATGGGATGATAGGGCCGGGTGGGACCACAGCAGAGATGCTCTGCCAGCTGATAAGAGGCAGAGGAGAGGGCGTTCCCTCTGAAAAGTGGGAGGGCGCCTTGTGGCTGGGCGGGGAGGCAGGGCCCGTCCACTGCTTAGAAGTACAATGGGGCTGGGGGGGGAGGGGGAACATAGGACACAGTCTGAGGGAGGAGGACGGGAAGACTGTGACCAGGAACATGGCTCAGCAGCTCTTCAAACACCTGAAACACTTGCTCTGTGAGGCTGCAGGCCCACTGCTGGACTTGTACAGATGCAGATACTTGTACGGCAATGTTGGGTGCATCCACAAAGACAATGCAAACACCCATCTATGGAGGGTTAGATGCAATGCAGCCCAGCATGCCATGCCATGGAATACTACGCAGCCACTAAAAGGACTACATTCAAATAATGCCGGGACACAGATGAACCTAGAAACCACTATACTAACTGAAATAAGCCAGACACAAAGGGCAAATACAATATGATTCTGCTTATATGAAATATCTCGAACAGATACAGTCACAGAATCAGAGAGTACAGCGAGGTCGCCGGGAGCTGGGTGGGGGTGCGGGTGGGGTGGGGAATGCAGTTATTGTTTAATAGGCACCGTTTCCATTTGCGGTCACAAAAACATTTTGAAAATAAAGGCGATGGTTGTTTCAACCTTGTACATGTAATGCTACTGAACTGTACATTAAAAAATATATGAATTCTAGAATTTGCTGGATATTGCTTTCTAGCTTTTTGGTTATTTTTGACAATCCTGTGTATTTAAAGTGAACTCAAAATAAAATTGAATAAGCCCAGGATAAAATGAAAACTGGCGAAACAGACAGGTCCAGGCCCTTCCATCAGTGGCTTCCTTAAGAAAATGCTTTCAGAGGTTTTGATGGCACCAGGCTGAGACAAAACAGAGCCAACGCACAAGGCCAAGGAGGAGCGAAGTTGGCTCCCTGAGCACAGTTCTGGTAACGGGCGCCGGGGCACTCAGCAGCAGGGTGTCCGCATCGGGGAGGAATTCACAAAAGCCAACCTGCACAAGGTGCACAGAAGTGGCCGGCAATGAGAGCCCAGCCCCTTTCTGCCTCCAGCGAGCGGATGGAACGCCCCCAAGCCTGCTACCTGCACCCAAGCCGCCACGCCACCGCAACGCGGCCCAGGCTCCTGCCCGCACAGCAGCCCCAGCTCTCCTGGCCCTGCAGGGTGTGGCGGGGGCTCCTTAACATCCGCCAGCCAGGCTGGTCCTCTCTGTCTGCACCCCCTCCCCATCCCCGCAAACCAAACAAATGCCACCAACAACCGCCCTTTACCTCGGCTCCTAAGCTGCTTTTCGGACCAGTTTGCCCAGGAATCCAACTAACGATGTCCTTTTAGTCCATCTTTGGAAACAGGGAGAGCAGCGACACAGACGTGCGCCAAGTGGCCATGGCTGCTCCTCCAACAAAAGGCTTTTGATAGGATTGATGTGAATGAAGGGCAGAGAGAGAGAGAGAGGAGAGGGAGGGGAGAGAGAGAGAGAGCGAGAGAGCGAGAGAAGCTTCTAGCTCTGGTCACAGCCGCACTGTTGGCCAGATCCTTCCCCAGTACCGCGTAACCAGGGGCTGGGCCTCCCTGGGGCCTGGCAGAGGGGCCTGTGGCGCCCCTACCCAGTGTCCCCCTGGGTGCCAGCCTCCCCTGCAGGCAGCTCTGGGCGCAGGCGGCTGGGACAGGCACGGGGTTGCATAGTTGGGGGATGTTTCACGCTGGGAACCCGGCCAGGCATTCTGTGGCAGAGGCCACCACCCCCGGCTGCAAAGGTCGCATTCAGATGCTTCAGGAAAGAAGCGCCCAGAAGGAAGGGGCAGCGACCGACCACGCCGGGCCCTGGCCGGCCGCTCTGGGCTGCAGGGCGTGGATAAGCCGCCTTCCTCAGCTTGGGCCCCGTAGCAATGCCTGTGCCGCTTACTGGGGCTGAGCCTGGTGGGGGCAGGGCGGCAGCCAGAGCACTTCTGTGACAGAAAGGGTCTGCTCCACCTCAGAATCCCAAGAAGACAGGCTGGGGCCCCTGGAAGCAGCGGGGTCTCGCAGACAATGGGACCTTTGTCTGGGCTCTCCCAAGGCTGGCGAGAAGGACTCATAAAAGCCGCCTGGACTTCCCAATCATGGCTAGGATTCTTCCCCACCCCCTGCTCTTTGAAAATCTGACAAGACTCCCTCAATCGCTGTGTCTTTTTAAGGCGGGGCGCTTTTTTGGTTTCTATTTTACTACATCCACGTGATTTTGAAAGCTCTTAAAGCAAAAGTGTTATTTTCTATGGGGATCCGTTTCTAGGATGAGTATGGGCTCTCTTGTCCCTGGAGCATAAGACTCAACTACACGCACACACAAGCACACACAACTGTGGCTGAATGCAAACACACACACACACACACACACACACCCCACTGAGAAGCGGCTACCACCAAACCCCCACGGAGCTCAGAATCTTGTCTCCCCGCAGTGCAGGCCCAGGATGCAGCAGCCAGGGGGGCTGAGGCACAGCTAGCCCACAGCAGCCACAGCCCAGGCAGGGAGGCAGCCGCTCGTGGGACAGCCTCGAAGGCGCGCACACTGGATGCAAAGTGGCAAAGTGGTGAAGAGAACTCGGGATGAAAATACCCAGCGCCGCTGAAACGTTTCCAGTGGTCATTCGGGGGCCAATCACTGCTGTCTGGAGATGCAAAGCTAATTTCCACTCCCATGAGTGATCACTTTATTTATTTATTTGACAGGTAGAGTTATAGACAGTGAGAGAAAGACAGAGAAAGGTCTTCCTTCTGTTGGTTCACTCCCCTAATGGCCGCTACGGCTGGCGCTGCGCCAATCTGAAGCCAGGAGCCAGGTGCTTCCTCCTGGTCTCCCATGCAGGTACAGGGCCCAAGCACCTGGGCCATCCTCCACTGCACTCCTGGGCCACAGCACAGAGCTGGAATGGAAGAGGAGCAACCGGGACTGGAACCCTGCTGCAGGCGGAGGATTAATCAAGTGAGCCACAGCACCGGCCCCGATCACTTTATTTTTACAACTTCCTATTCCTGGAAAATGAACACTTTGCAAGTAAAATCTAGAAACAATAATTAAAGAATAAAAACCCTTGATTTCTATGAGAAGCTAAGGAGGTTCCTAAATCACTGCTCAGCAGGGGCTGGGTAGGGCCAGGGGCTGGGGACTCTAGAGGGGAGAGGGGCATGGAGCAAATCCCCTGCCCCAGCTCTGCCCCTTGCTGTCACGTTCCCAGCACTGCCCTGTCTTCAACCTCCAACCTGTCCCAGCCCCTGCCAGGTACAAACACAGAGTGGATTCTTTATGGAAAAGGCACTTGTCTTTAATTTTTGCAAAAAAGATTTATTTATTTGAAACACAGAATAACAGAGAGAGGGAGACACAGAGAGAGAGAGACAGAGCGAGAGACAGAGCGAGAATCTTCCATCTGCTGCTTTACTCTTTAAATGGTCACAACGGCCAGGCCAAAGCCAGGAGCCAGGAACTCCATTCCCATCTCCCACATGGGTGGCAGAGGCACTTGGGCCATCTTCCTCTGCTTTCCCAGATACATTAGCAGGGAGCTGGATGGGAAGCGGAGCAGCCGGGACTCGAACCTGCACTCTAATATGGGATGCCAGTGTCGCAAGTGATGGCTTAACCAGCTGTGCTACAAGGCAGGCCCCCAAAAAGGCATTTGATATTGTGATTCAATACTCAGAAAGTTTTTAAGTGAGAATATCAAAATCCTGGAGAGGGATAGAGGAAGGAAAGGAGGGAGGGAAGGTGGGAAAGAGAAAATGGGAACCGTGAGAGTTCGCCAAGGTGGATTTTTGGAGAGGAATTGCCTCCAACCCCATGTGCAAACAGTACTGCCCAGGTCCAATTTAGCTGGCTGGATAAAGGGATCAGGAATTAGAGTGCTTTTGAGTTTTCAAAGCGTTTGTCCTTAGATGGGGCCTTGTTCAAGCCTCACAGCGTTCCTGGGAAGTGGTGGGTGCAAATCTTACCAGCCCTTCTTCGTGGTCCAAGAGCTGAGGGCCTGTCACTCGCTCAGGGCCTCACAGACACCATGGGACAGCAAGATGAGACTTGGGTCATGCAGTGCTCATGGTCACTCACCACTAAGGTCAGGCTGTGACAGCCTTCCTTTCTCCTTTCAGATCCATGTCCATCTAAAATAAAGGTTTCCATGTCATAATGGCAAAAGCCCCTTGT